GGAGAAGGAGAGACCTCACCTGCACCCATTCGAAGAAGGAATGTGAAGATGACAGTATAAGAACACACTCAACAACAGAAAGACTAGTATGCCACCACCAGAATCTAGGGACTCTACACCAGCAAGACCTGAACATCCCAAAACAGATGAGGCAGAAGAGAAGGACCTCAAAAACAACTTTATGAAGATGATAGAAACACTCAAAGAGGAAATGAGAAAATCCCTTAAAGAAATGGATAAAGAGACAAATGAAAAATTCAAGAAATAAACAAATCTCTTAAACAATTCAAAGAAAGCCAAGAAAAAAAAACAATCAAACAAGTGAAAGAAACAATTCAAACAGCTCAAGGCTTGAAAGCTGAAGTAGAAACAATAAAGAAAACATGGAATGAGGGGATGCTGGAAATAGTAAAGCTGGGTAAATGATCAGGAACAACAAGTGTAAGTATAACCAATAGAATGCAAGAGATGGAGGAGAAAATCTCAGATGTTGAAGACTCACTAAAAGAAAGAAACAAAGAAAATCTCAAGTCCAAAATATGCCTAACACAAAGTATCCAGGAAATATGGGGCACCCTGAAAAGGCCAAACCTAAGAATAATAGGTATAGAAGAAGGTGAAAAATACAGCTCAAAGGGGCAGAAAACATATTCAACAAAATCATAGAAAACTTTCCCAACATAAAGAAAGACATGTCCTGGAAGGTAGAAGAAGCTTACAGAACACCAAATAGAGTGGACCAAAAAAAAAAATTAAGTCCCCTCGCCACATAATAATCAAAACACCAAATATACAAAATAAAGGAAGAATATTAAGAGCAGCTAAGGAAAAAGGTTAAGTAACATATAAAGGCAAACGTATCAGGATTACACCCAACTTCTCCATGGAAACCCTGAAAGCCAGAAGGTCCTGGATAGATATTCTACCAACACTAAGAGGCCACGGATGCCAGCCCAGACTACTATACTCAGCAAAGCTTTCAATGGCTATATATGGAGAAAACAAAATATTCCATGAAAAAACAAGATTTAAACAATACATATCCACTAATCCAGCCCTACAGATAAAGTTCTGGAAGGAAAGCTCCAACCCAAGGAAGATAACTACACCCACAAAAACACAGGCAATAGATAATCCCACTTTACCAACAGCCAAAAGAAAAAGGGGGTGGAAATGGATACATAATACCACTACCACTAACAAATCCAAAACAAACAAGAATGAGCAATCAATGGTCATTAGTATCCTGTTAAGAGAAGCTTTTTCTTTGAGAGAAGCCTTCCCGCCAGCCTGGTTCTAGAGCCGCATAAGTCCCAAATAAACACACAGGAGGCTATATTAATTATGAAGCTGTTGGCCTTGCTTGTTTCTTATTGGCTAGCTCTGACTTAAGTAATTACCCCATAATTGTTTATCTAAGTATGTCTCTTACCGGAGAAGTTCCGGGCTTCCTACCCCATGGCGTTACATCTCAACTCTCCTGTGTTTCTCCTTCCCAGAGATCTCCTGGACTCCTAGTACCACCTATCTAGATTCCTATTGGCCCGCAGTGTTTTATTGACAAATAACAGGACTTCCCCAACAGTATCCCTTAATATTAATGGTCTTAACTTGCCTATAAAAAGACACAGGCTAACAGAATGGATTCGAAGACAGAATCCATTCTTCTGCTGCATACAAGAAACACACCATGCTCCAACATTTGAAGCTGAATGTCCTCAGTTTCTGGTGTTAAACAATTTGCTATTTTAAGCAGGTTAGACAGATATTTGCATGCACAAGCATGCACATTCTTTGAACTGAAGCTCATTATGTAACCTTACTTAACCTTGTAGGTTAAATGCAGAATTGGGTATGTCAAGAGTTCCCAGTGTGTGCATATGCATAGAGACCAATAAGAATAAGATGTACTTGTTGGGGATAATAGCTGCCTTCCACTTCACATACCTCTCATAAATTATTTCTGCTCTCAAATCTAATTCAGGAAGAACATATCATAATTCATAACTCATTCTATCAGGTAAGTGCCAGGAGAGCTAAATATTCATGGCAATTATATGTGTCATAGAGGTGTGTGTGGCTCTGCTTCAGTAACAGAGGATTCTTTTTGCTCTCTTCTTGTTCCTCACCATACCCAAGGCATTCCATTCACTCATTCATTCATTCATTCATTCGGTCAGTCAGTCTTTTATGAGGGCATGTGATTGTGTGTGCAGTGTATGTACCTGTGTGCATTCTATCAAGTGTGCTCACCTATGTGGTTATGGAGGTGAGAAGAGGACTATCAGGTATCTTGCTCTAACATTCCCTGCCTTATTCCCTTGATGCAGGGTCTCTCACCGAACTGGAGGCTAGGCTGGCATCTAGCAAACCATGGAGCTTCTGATTCACTCTACCATGTCTTGATTTTACATGAGTGCTTAGAATTTCAACTCGGGTCTTAATACTTGCACAGGAAGTTTTCTTACCAACTGAGTCATCTCTTTGGCCCTCATCAACAAATTAAGACTCCAACTATACATATGGATTTAATATTAACATTGGGATTTAATGCCAAGTAAGTATAATCTTATCCTCCAACAACCGACAAGTACATGAAAAATTGGACTTCTTATTGATTGTTCAGAAAACGATATTGTTTGAATTGTATTGGCCTTCATTTCTTCTCAGTTATAATTAACATTATACCTTCTGAATTTAAAATCCCAAAAGAATCCATACAAATGAAGCTGGTTGCATGATCAGCCACATCCAGTAACTTATCACTCAGATTCCTGTAATCAAGATCAGTAAAGTCAATGATTCCTAAAGCTGTATGGGGTATAATCATTCTTCTAGTCTGTCATTGAGGTCATATAAGGGGCAAATATATATTTAATTCATTTTCCCTAGGTTAAGTAACAATCACAACTCATGGAGAGTTACTTAAAAATCTTAGCACTTAAGGGGTTATATAGTGGAATATGAAAGAAACTTTTTAAAAATCTAAGTTTGTTGTCATGATTTTATTAGGTCATTCTTAAAAATGAATAAAAAGAGATAATTAATTGTATATGGGATGGGGTGCAGACAGAATTAAAGGGTTTACTGGAGATAGCTTCATCGGGAGACTGAAAGACTAGGAGGAACTACAGTTTGCAAAGCAGCAAGAATCCATATGTTCACATGACCCAGGAAGACAGTAGGGTCATTTGGATATGACCCAAGGTATTTGGGCACCTAGCTCAAAGACTCTCATGGATACTCATGTCCAGGGAACCCCGAAGCCACTTAAAGGAATCAAGTATCTATTTGGATGAGTGTAGACAATAGACCAGTGGGGAAATAGCAAATGTAGCCCATATTTCACCAGCTTGTCATGTAATTTAATTTTACCTATGGAAAAGAACTACATTCTGGTAATTCAATCAGTTTTGAACTCCATTATATTTGCTGCTATTTCAACTCAAGAGACTCATCTTTCTTGTATGGAATGCTTGGTTTAATGGCTTCCTTCCTAAAAATAATTTAGCTACTAGGATGGTACCTTCAATAAATGCATGGAATATATTTGTTTATAGTAATATAACATTTGTTGGTGCAAACATATTGAACACTTTTGAAGACATTTAAACATATCTCATGATGCTACTGTATAATTTGTGAAAAACACATATTATTGTTTGTATGAAACCAGAAATTAAATGTCTTATTGTTGTGATGATTGATATAGCAAGTCTTGAATTATAGAAATGTTATAGTGGCCTCCCTTTTGTTTCTTTTCAAGGTAAATAACAAATTAAGAAGATTATTATAATGACCTATTTTAAAATTCCAGGTTTGTGAGGATCTCTTGAAATGAAACAAAATGTGCCATATCCATGCAATCACTGATCAAATGATACATTGATGAAACAGCAAATACATGTCTGAATTTCAAGCGATTGAAAACAAAATAAGATGAAGGATAATCTCAGCCTCCCACTGATGATGCCCCCAATTTTCCTTTATCTCATGCATTTATTGAGCATTTCCCCTGTGACAGGTACAAAATGAGGTAATTTAGTGTATGGAGTGGTAAAGTCATAGACAGCTCTGATGTCTTAAGAGTCTGATTTTTCCATTTATCTACAGTATTGACCAGCTTCTGTAAACATAAACCCATAAGTTCACTTTATTTCCTCTGGACCTACTATTTTGAATCAGACAGATATGTTTCTGAATATACATAGCATGTGACAATGCCATGTTTATGCTGTCTTTTGTCTTCTATTATCAGCTTTTACAAACCCCTTTTTGATTGCCAATAAACTATAAATATGTACTCTCCTCTTTGGATAAGGTTCCTACTTTTCATTCACCACCAGACATGAAGATACTGGGATGGAATATGAGGGGAGGCAGTATTGAAATTTACTTGGGCTGTCCATACCTGTGTGTCCACCAGAGTTCCATGCATACCCAAAATGTGTCACACTCTGTCTTATGTGATTCTATGCCTATATGCCCCACATATCTAGAGAAAGTACTGTTAGTTTCTAATTTCACAGGTGTAGCCTCAGAGATATTTTGCTAGGATATTGTGTGTACATGTGTATGCTTCCTGTATTTGCCCATGTGCACGTGGAGGGTATAGATCAACACTGGACATCTTGCCACCTTATTTTTTGTCGTACTGAATTGGAAGCTCTGATTTTGCTATACTGGCTGTCCAGTAGGCTCCAGAAATCCACTTGTCATTCCTTCCCCGGCACTGGGTTTGTACCAATTTTACTAGTGCTTTACGACTCTACACTGACACTTTCATTCTTGAATGACAAACTCTTCACTGATTCATATGTCCACTTCACAGAAAGAACTCTTATTAGATAAACACAGCTTTCTTTGACCAGAATCATACAACAGAGAGACCCTTGACTATTCCATAATGGGCAGATTCTTACCTAATTAATGAAATTATTCCTGAAATGAGCCCAAATTCCAAGACATTGTGCTTGCGTATTTCAATAATAACACCAATCAATAATTGCAAATTTTATTTAAGAAGCCAATCAATAATTCATTACAGAGTTTCTGGTCAAACAATTAGTCCCAAAGATGAACTCCATACAAGTTGAATATAAGTGATTCAAACCGGCACATTATCTTGAAACAAATCAAAAAATACGTAAAAGATCCCATTGAGAGTGTGTGGCATTATTCCTTATGGAGACTGTCTCAGATAAATGAATTGTATTTTGTGTGTTTGTGAATGTTTGTGTGTTCCTGTGTATGCATGGTGTGTGTGTGTGTGTGTGTGTGTGTGTGTGTGTGTGTTATAAAACAAGGGAGACGGATGAAGGGAGGGAAGGTGGGAGGGAGGCAGGAAGAGGGCAATCAGAGGATAACATCCAGTGTCATCCTCAGGAATGCCATCCACCTGTTTGGAGACAGCCTCTCTCACTGGCCAGAAGTTCTGCAATTAGTTTTGACTAGCTGGCAAGCAAGCTCCAGAAATCTATTTGTCTACCTTTCTTCAGCACAGGGATTCAAGGTATCCACTACCATGACTGGAATTTTTATGATTTCTGGGGATTGAATTTAGAGTACTGGGCATTGGCTTTACTAATCTAGCTATCTGTCCAGCCCTCAAATAGATGAAAACATTACTTGGTTTTCAATTTGTCTCAAAAAGTATTTAATCTTTACATTCTAAGGTTTGGGTGAGGGGATGTGAGTACGTGAGTGATACTGCCTTGCTTATTTAATTGCTTTGATGGTTATCACTTCTTGCTCTTTGCTTTTAGCATTTTAATTTGAACTCACTCAGAAATTTTGTTATCAGCCCTATTTTTTTAGCATTTTCTAGTGTTCAAACATTTCACATGATATCTTTTATTATAACTAATTTGGAAATAAAAAAATCTAACTCACCATGAAGTCAAACCATACTCTGACCAGTGTTGTTCATAACCTGCCAGAATGTTCATGCTTCAAACCATAATTCTAGTTACACTGGCTTTCAGAGTGCCTCTTCCCACTTCTGTGATGTGCTGGGCCTCCTAGGTACTGCTCCAAGGTATAGTACATAGTCATTCCTCCTATTACAAAGTATAATGACTATGAAATTGCATTGTTCTGCCTTTCTGATTCACCTGCCAAAGGCTATATAGAGCCCATACAGATTAACTCCTAAGTTGGAAATATCCATTAGTGACACTGATTACTAATGAACTACTTCAAATATTTCATTCTTTCATACTTTGCCACCCAAGGCTTAAAGCTCCCTTTTCCTTGCTAGATGCCAAACTTCTTTTGTTCAATAGTGCACTAGCCTTTGAAGCATGGCATTGCACTGGCAATCTGTCCTGTGTGGTTGGGTTGGGGACAACTTTGTAGATTCTGTTTGCTATTTCCTGTGCTTGATGGAATAACTGCCACAAAGATCAATGGGAGTTGAGTTGCTAAAATAGTTTTTAAAATGTATGACTGCCTTAAACGTATGTTTTAAGATGAAACTTGTTATAAGCTTAACTTTGAGTAAATACTATGAAGAAAAAATTCTTAAAAAGGCTTTTCCTACACACTACTTAAATGAGAAAAAATTCGGAAATTCAAACATAGCAAGCTCCATTTGCTCAGCGATGAGGTACTTGCACCAAGTTCCCCATGGCCTTTGGTGTACAATTATTTTTAAAAAGAAAACTACTTCTAAGGTATCGACTTGACATTAAAGTTTGTTTATTTAAAGTAACTATTGAACTTAGAACTTAAAAAAGTCATTTGAATTGTAAACACTCAAGGATAAGCCAGTTTTTAGGATCACATTATTGTGTCACAGTAACAGAAATGTGAATCACATTTAAATTGTAGACTCAGGTTCTCCTATAATCTGAACACTGAGCTACTATACTCTTGATAGAAGCCATAGGAAAATCCAAATCTTCCTTTCTGGCACAAACTTTCCAGGAAATGATATACTATAAGGAAATCACATGAAGTCAGCTGCTTTCTGTTTTGGTTAACCAGGTAGTTTAAAAATTATTATCCCACTAGCAAAGTCTTCAGACTTTAGAAGCAGAACTAGAGGACTCACTGAGGTATACTTTGTGGTTGGTTCTGTAGCTTTTTCTCTGGCCTCAGAACTAACCATGGCATTGAGGATGGACAGGTATAAATCACACTTTCTTATCAGGTAGCAGTTACCATAGGTGAGCAAGTATCACCTATTTTTTTGGCGTCTATAAAATATTTGGGTATGGACTGGCATGAATTTCACTTTGATATTCCAATGAATGCTATTTTGGTCTTATTATTTACTTGCCTACAACAAATGACTAAATTTGAGATTATTGTTTGATTGCTTTCATTTCTCAGTTTGTAGTGACAGAATTGTGAGAATGTATTAGCTGTCAATGTTCTTTTCATTTTGCCACGTTGCTTTGCTTAATAACTGGAAGGGCATTTTATATATTTTAATATAAGACTGGGAAAATATTCAATACTGTCTGATGGTCATAGTATTGGCTAGATAATGAAATTCAGAACTCTGTCAATCATGGGGACAGAATTTGACGCCTACTCTTTGAAGAATTAAAAAATCTTTCTACAGTACATGTGTATTGGAGTTCAGTCCTGTATTCAAACTGGCAAATAAATTGTTAGGTAGATTGTAAAAACAGCTATTGTACACAGTAGGGGCTTCAGAAAGGGGAAGCAAACATCTGAGGTTTTCTTCTTTCGTTCTTATATGGAGAAAGCCAGTTGAACAAGGGGCAGAAATAAAAATCACAGTTGGTTTCCAACTGTGGATTGATTGTTAAAAAGAACTGGGTGGCATATCCCCCTTGATCGCTGTAATTTTCCTTGTACATACAGGTTGTTCAACCTTAGTCTGGGCAATAAAAATTATTAGGCTTCTGTGTCTTAATCTAACCTTTCCTTGGAAAAATCACATATGTATTTTTTTAGAAAAGCTTATTTAGGGCCAATTCAATTGCAAGTCGCTTGTAACATAATTTATAACAGGTTTCTTTACTCCATGCTGTAAATCTGAATACAGATACTGTCCAAACTGTCCTAAGAGTAATGTCTGAATTCACAGTAACAAAAGTTACAAAGTTCGTGCAAAAGATATTGTACACCATTGGAGTACATAGAGCTTGCTATAGTTAACTTTACTTATAAAACTGAATTTCTCATTGAAACTATTATGTCCTACATTAAAAGCCTCTCGTTAAAGTGTTTCTAATGGTAAAACTGAAATGTCAGGATGCAATTGCATGTATGTGATGGATGTAAATGGAAGAAATCATTGGGACCGTTTAAACAGCATAACTTCTGTGGAGCTCTTCAAGTTTTCCAAGGGTCATAAAGTAAACCCGGCTGTGGTGGTTGTTCAGTGTAGAAGTAAAGAACAGCTTTAAAAAAATCAGAGAAAAGCATTATCAGTGAGTACGTAATCCACTTTAGCTAGATAATTCATAAATAAATGTGCACAGAGCCGGGCGCTGGTGGCGCACGCCTTTAATCCCAGCACTCGGGAGGCAGAGGCAGGCGGATCTCTATGAGTTCGAGACCAGCCTGGACTACCAAGTGAGTTCCAGGACAGCCTCCAAAGCCACAGAGAAACCCTGTCTCGAAAAACCAAAAAAAAATAAAATAAAATGAAATAAATAAATGTGCACAGTACCAATTTATAATTATAATTTGGTGTAACTAAAATATTAAACCATCTTGTTTGGAACAATTTTTCATTGATTGTAAAGAACATAAATTTGATTAGTTTCGAATTTGCATTATGTATTTCACAGCAAGCTCCTCACCATAGTCTATATAACTACAATTCATGTGGTTTACTAGTTTGACTTTGTTTTCACTTTAAAAATCTATCATTTGAGACTTTCATCCATCCACACAATGAATTATGATCACATTATCACTTGGTCAATTCCCTCCAGACCCCCTCAACATGTTTCCTCCCATTTTCATGCTCTCTTTTTAAAAATTATAACCCACTGGGGCCAAGTAGTGCTGAACATATGGGCATAGGTGGGAGGCCATGTACAGAACACGGGAAGTTACCAGTGCCCTCCCCAAAGAATAATGATTCTTCTTCTCTTCGCGGCTACCATATTTATTGTAGGTGGTTTTCAACGCTTTCTTTTAGTTGAGCAAGGGTGACACCAATGGACATGACAAATTGGATTGGGGAAATCTCACAACACCTCAACTCTATACAAAGAACTACAGGTAACTGAGGAAAGCAGGGAGCTGGGATCAAGAGAGTTGGTCCTCCTCAGAGAAGAGCACACCAACTAGTTGTCTAGTGCCAACAGGTCAGCCCTAAATACCTACACATTATGTGGAATAAACAGGTTATATTTAGGAATATGTATGCATATACATTTATACATGCAATAACAATTAGTGAAAAAAGGGACTATGAATATGAATGACTGGGAGGAGTATACTGGAGAATTTGGAGGGAAGAAAGAGAATTAAATTTTCTACTTCTTTTGATGTCAGCTCAATTCACTGAAACAGAAAACCATGAAAAAGAAGAAAATTTCTATAACTTCTTAAATATAAGCAGAAGTGGCAAGTGACAGAAAAAATGTTTCCTTGTATTAAAAGAAAATTTGAATTAGAATAAATTTGTTTTTATTTTTTGAGATTATAATTGGATTGTGACATTTCCTCCTTTCCTTGGTATAATGAATTAAACCCAATGGGATAGAGAAGAACATGTTGTATAAACATGTGTTCTTCCATAATAAAGAAAGTCAGAACAGAGGACAGACATAAATGTCAAAAAGAATACAAAGGTTTTTTTTTACATCATCAAAAGTTATACTTAGTAGGTTATCATGATTACCTAGTAGGTTATCATGATGATGATGAGTGTAAAATAAACCAACTACCTTTAACACATTTTATGTGACAAGACCTCTCTAAAATGCTTACTGAATGCATATTATGTAAGATTTTTACCATTGCTCCCCAAAAAGTTGTGAATAGTACCGTTTTATAGATAAAGGAATTAATTTTTTATTTTTAAAGATCAAACAAGGGTTGGTAATGTGGTACAATGGTACAGTGTTTGCATAGCACATGTGTGAGGTCCAGGGTTCCATGCCCAGCATTCTCCCACCCCATGACAAAAGAAACATATTAAAGATCAATTAAACTTCTCTGGTTCTCACAACTTGTTAGATGACAGAGCCAGAACTGCAACCCCAAACTCTGACCTCAAACTTTTGTTCTTAGCATTATATTCCAAAATTGGGCACCTTTCCTTGACATGAAGCAATTTTGCCCTGCTTTCCCTTCTATTAGCTTGAATTCTGTGTAATCCTTGATAATGATTCTTAAACCTATTAAGATATTTTCTTTCAAGTATTATTTCTTAAAATATTCACTTATGTAATGAAATTTCCCACCTATCTATTTTGAATAGTTAACACTGATCAACTTTCACAGAAAATTTCCAAGTCTCAATTTTAGTTTTCTTCCCTGTAAAATAGTCATCATTATACCTACGTGTGAAGATAAATTGAGCATCTAAAAATAGCAAACGTAAAGCTTAGCATATAATTATATATTCAACAAACATAAGTACCATAAGTACTTTTGCCTTCTTTTATTCTTGGAATAAACTAGAAATGGAGTATTTTCAAAAAGCAAAGAAATGCTTCTAAAGAGATGGCAAAAAAGGATTTCTCACACACTGTTGGTAGGAATGCAATATTATAGCAATCCTGGAAAGTAGTATGGAAGTTCCTCAAAACAAACAAACAAACAACAAAAACACAACCCTAATACAACTTGCCATGTGTTCTGGCACCCGCATATCTTGGTATGTATCATAGGAATTGGGTACCAGCCTACCCAAAATATTCATATGCCATGGTTACTGGAGCACTATCTGCAATAACTTTTGAGTCAATCTAGCCACCTGTTAACCAATGAATAAGCAAAATAAAACCCCAAGTCATTCATTTGCAGCAAAATACAAAGAACTAGAGAACTGATGCTAATCAAAATAAGCTAAAAAGAAAACATAAATGATTTCTTTCATGCATCGAAGCTAAACGAAATCCAAGAAGAGACTAGGAATGACGTTGGGACTAAGGCAGATAAAGGGAGTTTAGATCTGATTAGTGCATATGTAGGGCATGCACTGAAATATCACAAAAAATGTCATTGATATATGGATTAAATTATGCTAATCAAAACCAAAATATTTAAATCATCCTGAGGAGGCTTATTTGCTCTCATATTTTTCTTGAATTTCTTGGTTATGAAAATGAAAATGATTATGGATCAAAATTAATGCAAGTTCTTGTCAAATAAAATATCGATATTTAATTGGGATATAACTAGATTTTTACTTTGAAATTGGGGTATATATTGTTTTCATTAATAGTGTGCTGTTTTAAAAAATATAATCTTAATGTTTGAGTGAAAGGAAAGTCTAATTAATGTCAATGCCTAGTTTATTTCTGCTTCATTGAAGGGTGTAAACTGTACCTTGTCACCACGGGTACACAGGAATCTCAGTTTCTTGATTGACCTGCGCTTGAGCTCATTCTCGAGGATGCTGGACTGCAGAGATCTCACTTCAATAGCCTTTTGGTCCCACCCGGTGATTCTCTGTGTACACTCAAAAGCTACAATACAAATGGAAACGTCAGCAGAACATTTTATTTTTGCAACAGGGCAATAAAATCACAACCACAGTTAACTATTAAGAAGTTAATAGTTACAGGTAAGGCTAAACTCATATGGTTTTAACCTTATTCTGAAGTGTGCCATTTTGGACATTTTGCTGCTTAGGGATGGTATTCACAGTTGTTACCTATAGACCCCACAGTGATCAACAATGACTTGCTAGGTTTGGTGAATGCTTGTATTTGTATACTGTATGACCATAGACTAACCCAAGGGTTAGCGACTTTGTTTGCAAACATTCAGATCAATCCATGGCTTTAGAAAAATAGTAATAGCATAGGTAATATACAGTGTCACACCAAATATGAATTGAGGGGTCCCAATAAATAGCTGTCCTGTAACATACGTAGAAAACTGACTCGGGAACAAATTAAAACGAGGGCTTGGCATTTAGTTCAGTGGTAGAGTTCAAGACTCTGGGTTCAGTTCTCAGTCCTGAAAATATTCAACTGTTACATAATATCTTATTCAAACAATGACTTTGGTAACTAATTTGAGTAAGTTTTCTTCTTAGAAGCAGAGCTGAGCATAATATTATACAGTTAAAACTTTTTCTTGTTGAGGAAAATTATAAACATTTTAAAATTTTTTGGCCTGTTTTATGATCCTTTGTGATAATATCACTTATAAAAATACTATCACAAAGCAGAATTCTTGTTATGAAAAGTACATCCCTTTCGTTGATTCTGTGAAGTATGTTATGGCTGAAGAAGTAAGTAGTATTAGTAACTGTTTAACTTTCAACTTCCTTTATGAAATTTATAGGAGAGAAAATTTCCATATATAAATTAAATTGTAACATTTAAAATGACACAAATTTTGACTGAAGTTAAAAAACAAAATGTGGCACTTTGATGACTCAAAGCAGAATTCTTTAATTAATTTGACTCTCGGTTTCCCTTTATTTTAAAGGGGAAACTGGCATGAGTATAGCTATGTATTTTTAAAAAAAAAACACCCGTTTTTATCAAATACCCTCAGGTACTTCTGTTTAAACCAGAATTTATCTGCAGTAGTCTAAATTAAATTTACATACAATAACTTATGGAAGACTAGGTAAAGTAGAAAAGTAACCAGCAAATGCATGCTGTGAGCAATGGAGCTTATCTCAAAGAAAATGCAGAGCATGCATGCATAAATTATCCCAGGTTAATTACAATGCAAACGACTTAACTGTATGATTCTGATATCAAAATTGTCATTAAATTACTGTCATATATTGACTATGAAAAATAGCTGTCCTGAAATAACTTTATTAGTGTAATTTCAGGCCCTAATTAAATTTATGAAGTATGAAGAACCAATGGTCTGTCTTACAGTAACTAGTAAGAGATTTGGCATATATGAATTTGCCTTTTTGCTCACATGACTACTATATTAAAATAGTAGTTCTCTCAACAGCCTTACAGAGAAAAACCTTTCTAATTTTAACACAGACTGTCTACTGAGTCCAATACCCAGTATTTACATCATCACAGATTCACTCATCCTAGACACTTACTGACACAAGTTTGCTTTCTTAAATGAGTCTCTGAAATTTGAAAATAAGAGATTTTTGGTAAAACTTTCTTCGATTCTTAAGCTTCTATACAATTCTTTGGGAATAAAGAACATTGTCTTTACTATTGAAAATATCATAGTTTAAAGAAATGTAAATTTTAGTTTAGGAACATCTGCATTTAAGCTAGTTGTAAACAACAAGTTTTTTTTAGTTAAAAAGCAGATCAAATTATTTCCTTGATATCAGTGTTATATTGTGATGTATTCTCAATATGAAATAAACAAGCGATTTTTCCGTGTGCTTGTAGTGCCATAATTTATTTTACATGTAGGTGTCTTTCAAATTCTAGCATGTGAAAATTGCCTTTTGCTTTAGGATAGAAATTTTCTTGCCTGAGGACAAGAGATGCTGTAGACATTGAAGATCCCTCTTACTCTTATGATCATCTAGTGGCTTGAATATTAAGGTTATGCTCTTCAACTTGGCTACCTGATTTTCATTTCTGGGTTCGTATACTTTTTGATGAGCTGGGGAGGCATTCTTTCCCTAAGCTGCATCACATTGTTCTCAAAAGTATCATTATAAAATATAAAACATTACTCATCGGTTTTACTTTCTTTTGTCCTAGATCCATAAGCATTTAGTGTCTATCATTAAGCCCTCTATGAATTCTTAGCTGTTTGAAGAAATTAGAGCAGGTTCTCAGGATAATCCTTAACATTGACTATGTATACAAAATTAAAAGATTCTGCAGATGGAATGAAAAAGATTATCACTCCACAGAGAAATTGTCCAAAACTGAGTTCTTTCAAATTTTGCTATTAATAAAATATGGGTATTAGTTTTCTACCCACTCTACAGTCAATATAGAGCATGCTATTCTCTGTTTGGACAAACAGTTTTTCCTTCCCCTTCCCTTTCTTTTGTATAACCCACTCTCTTCACACACACACACACGCACCACACACACACACACACACACACACACACACACACACACACCCGCATGAACACAGGAAGGGGCCTTGTCATTCATGTTGTCATTCTACCCTTTACCCTGACTAATATTTTAACTATTTGCATGCATTCTCTTGTCTAGTCACTACACAGTGGAAACATAAAAAAGAATCTGAAATGATTTAATTTTCCAGACCAGCATCCCTAGACTATTTAGAGAAAAACAGTGCTCTAACTAGAAAAAAATATAATTCTCCATGTTGCTAACTAGGTGGCCACTAGTTCTATCTGTCTTTTATATATGTTACTTCACAATAATACCACTCTATAAACAGAACACTGATGCCTAGACAAAATAGTAGTACTTTTCTTTTTAATGTGTAAGACTTTAAATTGCCACTCAGTTATTTAAGGAAAAAACTTGAAATTCCAGAAACCTTATCTAGGACACATTTTTCTTTCTCTTAGAGCTTCTCTGGATCATCTGGGAGGAAAAGGAATTTACTACATACCCACAGAAGATGGTATGTCTTTCCACACTTCAAGGATCTTCTTGAAGAGTTGTTCATTTGCTTCCTCCGAGGCAGCTTCAGCATTGAAGGAGAGCATCACGCCAATTCCCAAGCAATCAGGTAAAATGATGATATTCTGTGATATAATGATTTCCAAGGATGGGATTATGTTTCATAAGATTTCAATGTCCAGAATTTTATCACTATTATGTTAACTGCAGCAACTATTACTTTAATTGAAGGCCAAAAGATGCTCAGCATGCAGGGAGGAAGGTAATCTGTTTCTAAATTCAGCAGACTGAGATAAACTAAGCACTTGAGAAGAGTTGGTTTCCATTATGTCACAAAGCCATCAGTTTTAATATTCTCTATTTTTGTTTAGGATAATAATTTCGAAAAAAAGTCAAGCTGTGCTTCTAGAGAAATTTCTTAGAATGCCAGAAAAGTATTGTGTATTATATAGGAAAACTAATACAGTCCTGAATTTAGGATTCATTTCAGAAATTAAGCAAAATTTTCATAATGAATGCGTGAGCCAAGTAACACATCATATACATACTTCTCGTTCATTAGCAAATTCATCTAATAAAGGAAAATAAACCTCAAATAGCTTAACTTCAAATATTTAAGGGACAACTTTTAATACTGTTAATAACTTGTTTTATTATATTTGTTCCCATTCAAGACACATAATGTTAACACAGGCTCAATATGCAAATTAAGAAATATTGGTTGGTAGAATAAGGAAATACTAAGAGACAAGTAAGAATTTGTAAATTTTCAGGTTCATAAATGGGACAAAATCTGTTTAGAGCCCATATATTATGCCATTGACAGTATTACTCTAATAAGGTAATACTAAAAAGGTGTGTTTTGCTGTTTTTCCAAATTAGCAAGTTACAGGGGTGGGGGAGGTCAGAAACTATACTTGCCAAAGCCAGCGTACTCAGGCCAATTGCTTGAGGCCATGTCTCAGCAACAACAATCCTCAAAACTAAAATGGGAATCCAGAGACGAAATGCAATTTTAATGCGTTCCCTGGGTACTTGCATGAGCAGTCGAATCAGAAAACAGATGAGAGAATGAAAGGAAATGCAAGAAATAAGGTTGTCTCAAGAAAATCTGTTTGTAATAAAAAGGGACTGCTGTGAATCCAGACAGCCTCTGAGATAATTGCCTGCTTCTCGGATGCTTTATCAAACAACCGGGTACTTTTCAGCACGTGTGGCTACCCAACACTATGAGAGCCTTAGTAATCTAGCACATTGGAGAAAATATGATTTTTAGGACATTCTCTTTCAGGCTCTTCTCCCTGATACTAAAATCCTTTCTATTTTAGTGGGTCAAGACACTAGGGAATTTGTCTAAAAATATGTTTGCGTACGTATGAGGTATCCTAATTAGGTCAGAAAATGATTTGTGAAATCTCTTCTTCTCTCATTCTCATTTCTATAGCAAATAATTTCCCTGCTTATTATTTAGATTTAAACTTCTTCAATGATTTTATTTTTCAAGCTAAATAGCCAATGCTGGCCATAATACTCCCAAACATCCTGTCTACACCTCCAAAGTTATGGGTTTATGTGTGTTATGTGTGCACTAATAAGCCTGGTTGGGCTTTTCAATAAGTCGAGATTTAAAACAACATTCAAATATTCCTTATTGCCCTGCCTTCTTAATAAAGACTATCTGTTATGATGATAAATAGAAGATACATGATGCTATAGAGACAACTTAAATGAAGAGTAATGTAGTTACATCAAAATTATTTTGTGGTTTTGGCTGAGATTGTGTTTAGTATTTCCACAGTAGAAACTGAGTAAATTGTATATATAGGCAACCACTGGGTCATAAGCCACTGATTGCTAGTTTCACCAAAATATCTTTAAAGATGTCTTCACTAATCAATGTTATGCTAATTGTTTTATGTCATTGTTTTAATTGCATTATTAGAGACATGGATTATATTTCTAAAATTGTTCAAAATGCCACATAAATTGAGTGGTTTAAAGTACATAAGAGTCTTGTCTAAGGATTTTATGTAAAGATAAGCTGCTGAAAATTTAATATTTAATCAACTGAATATCAAGAAAGGATGAAGCAAAAAACAAACAACAAAAAACAACTGCTGGCCTTTTAAATACAACTTTCAACTAGGAAAACCATCAGTTCAACCATCAATATTTTATATGATAAATTTGGAGTGGTATGATGTTACTGTCAAGCTCTTTATAAAATTTTTTATTTGTTTTTTGAGACAGGGTTTCTATGTGTTGTTTTGGAGCCTGTCCTGGAGCTTGCTCTGTAGACCAGGCTGGCTTCGAAATCACAGAGATCCTCCTGCCTCTGCCTCTGCCTCCAGAGTGCTGGAATTAAAGGTGTGTGTCACCAATGCCTGGCTCAAGATCTTTATATTAATGATGAGTGTTGTTACCAGCATTCACAATTTAGATCTTGGGCTTTATTTACATGTAAAAACTGTAGTGAATTTACTTTTAAAATACCGAATCTTTTCATCAGAAATTCTCCAAATTAATTAATAACATAAATGAATTTTAAAGTAATTTGCTATTGTCTATAGATAATACAATAAAGAGTGGAGTACACATAATTATGCAATTCTCTTATTGATTTCTTAATAAAGTATATTAGTATATTACAGGGTATAGAAATACTAAAGCTAACTGAAAAACCATCCCAGGTCCATTTAGCATAAATGCACAAAGATGAATGGATAGTGAATGCAGAGCACAAAGCCATTAAAATGAGACAGACCTCAATTAGTTCCACTTGATAATGGCCAGATGGTGGTGTGGGCTTGAGATTATCAGGTCTGGTTAATCAATAGAATTCTGGATTTTACAGGCAACATGTATTCATTAATAACAAAATCATTACAGCCAAACAAAATCTGTCTGCAAACTGCACTTAAATATTTGGAGAATGAAACCATTAGTGACTTTTATTTACGTAGCAACATTCTCCACCATGCTAAACTTACCTGTTAGATCTCTAACACCCTCAGACATACATGCACATGCAAACAAAACATCAATGCACATGAAATAAAAATAAGTATCACTTTAGAAAGTAAAAGAAATGAAGGAAAGTTATACTTTAAACTTTTGAGAGTTTTGATAACTGGAAAAATTCAAAGTGTGTACAATAAGTTCTAGCGATCTGAAGGTATTATCTTACGTTATTTGGCAATGTCACATCAGACATAACCTCAGTTTCTGCATCAATGATGTGATATCCATTCGCTGAGCTGAAGAAAATCTTCAGTGTTTTCTCAGAACCAATAGCCAGGTCAACTGTCACTGGCTTAAGATCAGGGGTTGGAAACACCTGAAAATATAAAAGCAAATATGGCCCAAAGGCCAAAATGATATTCTGACTAGGCAAAAATTTCCCTATTCTTTTGCCATATTTACAAGTTTATTAAACTCAGGTGGCTGTTTGTGATTGATTGATTAATTGATTTATGATCCTGGGGATTTAAAACAACTATGGCTTCCTACAACCTACAATGACCAAATTGTTAACATCCTTGGAACTGCATGTGGCCTTGTTCTCTCATTAGCTGCCCTTAAATTCCTTGCCTTGAGTTTCAGCAAATGAAGGAGCTCATCTGGTCTCTTAAACCGGTTCGCTGGATCAGCTGCCTGTATTTTTGCCAATATTCGTATATAGGCTTCATAGGACATGTAGTCTCCTTCGGAGTCTGCTGATTGATCAATGCATACTTGGTAAGGAAGGAAAAAGGCCATACATATTAACCTATGGTAGACAGACTATCCTCTAAGACTCCCATGGTTTATAGTTCAAGGAAACAAAAGGCCAAACAGGATTCATTGCAATGATCAGATTATGTAAAGGACTGAGCATCATGGGATTCACAATAACATGGTCACGAGACAGGCATCAAGAATGGAAATGAGGACTTAGACAGGGCCTAGCTAGACACATTGTTGATATTTATTTCTTTGTTTTCCAGTTCCATACCAGGTAGCACTGAAAAGTCAGCAGACACCCAAGAATTAACCATATCCAAATGTTGGCAGCTGAGCCAAGACCCAATTTAGGCAGATCAGATCAGGGATGCTATATCTGTCATGGTAGACTGACTGTCTATATAAAAGCCTATTCTATCTAGAAAGAGGCTACAGGATACTGTGCAGACAGTGCAAATAGTTCTTGGGGAGTATTCACATGCATTTTATTATGATCAATAAATATATGTGATATTTGGGCCTAAAAATTAGAACATGTACATAGATCCCAATCTAACACAAATGTATTTCATGAATACCATGAAGTCTATCAGTATGTGCTCCCATCAGTGCTTTGTGAAATCTATATGTGAACAAAGTAGTTCAGGATTATTGAGAGCATTTGCTAAAATGTGATTCTCAGGCCCCACTGCAGACCCACTAATGCAGCCTGGGGTTGGGTCCGAGATCTAAACATTTAACAAATGCTCCCACTGATTCTGATGCCTAAAAAAGCATGATAAAATAGCTACTTGGCTTTTTAAAAAATCTATCCTGTTTCAAAGAACTCAATTTATGGGAAAGGCAAAAATCAACTGTAATTTATTTTGGCCAACAGATGGTTAGTTTCCATAGCTGATCCATACAAATTTCTACGATCTAAGTTGCATTGGGGTACTTACCCACTATTGTCCCAGAACAGTTCTACAGAGAAATGTGTTTCAGACCGGAAGAAATATAGACCCCCACTTCCTTCCCCCAGCCACCTACTGTAATGATAGTTGGAGCAAAGCTTTTATCTCCCCTCTTCCAATGTGGCTTCCTCAGTATCTCCATATCTCTTCTTACCTTCCCTCTGCTCTCCACCCCCCACTAAGAGAAAACAGGGACTTTTCCAGCTTCAAGTCATTGGGGCGGCACCTGAAGCCTGTGTTTGGACCTCTAGAAGAGAAGATCTTCATGTTGACTACAGGAAATGGGATTGAGGAGCTGGTGGGGATGTCCTGTAAGGGGAGGGGTTGGGGACTTCCCTCAAACTCTCCCTTCCTGTGGTGCCTGTGGATTGTCTAAAAAAGGGTTAAATGATAATTATTGACATGATATATGCAAATTTCAATAACTGTAGCTGAATGATATATATCCACATCTACATTCCAAACTATTTTGTTTATAATACCTTCTTTAAGAAAAATGATATGATGCAAATGAAATGGTTACTCACTTTAATAGCAGTGCTTTCATCAAAGGACTTTGGTGCCCATGCATAAAGGTGAATTGATGATTTCAAAGCAACTGCAATGTATGTTGTTTCTTCATGTTGAACTATAAAGGCAACATACAAAAAAGTCATACCTCAGAATTAACAAGCAGGTGTTTATATTTATTATCACAGTGAAATAACCACAATGTTAAGAGCAAAAGCTGTGTATTTTTAGAATAGCTCCTTGGCTGGAGTTGTATTCTCTTCATTCAGTATTAATATTTGTGTAATTCATGGATTGTATTTATTAATATTCAAGTACATTTGATTATTATTATACACTACTGCAAAATAAGGCATAAAAAGAAAGCTCTAGTAAAGCTGAGTGGCACCTAAATTTTATCTTAGCCCTTGGCAGGCTCAGGAAAGAAGACTCTGAGTTTGAGTCCATCTTAGGGCTACATATCAAGAGCCTATCTCAGAAATACAAGGGTTGTGAGTGTGGCGTAGTAGTGAGTAGTGAAGTGTTTTTGTATTACACACAAGGCTCGGAGTTTCATTTTTGGCAGAGAATAACATATTAAAGAAACTCAAAAATAAATGGGAAAACTTCCCATGTTCACAGATAGGTAGTTTTTCTCAAAATGTAGTTATCTAAAATAATCTTTACAGATTAAATGCAATCAATATTGAATAATCAATGTTTTGGTCTGTAGAAATGAGGGGGTTGTTCCTAAATGTCACACCGAATCGTATAAATATTCAAACTCTTCAGAAAAGTCTTCCCAAAAGCCTAAAGTTGAAGTACACCCATTTTCTGAGCTCAGTGTTTATTATAAATTATACTAGTAGACTTATTGAAGCATCATCCAGTCATAAGAAAGACTGAGATTATATCATTTTCAGGAGTAGATATAGCTAGAGATTATTATATTAAGCTAAAGAATCAGATTCAACGAGACAAATAGCACACATCTTTTTCTTACATATGTAACTTGTATTGAAGAAAAAGTAAAGGCGCTGGTGACATGGCCCAGTGATTCAGACAGCAAACTGCTTTTGCACAGGACCCAAGTTCAGAGACTGGCACACTGCTTGGACATCTTAAAATTGCCTGTTACTCTAGATTCTAGAATTAGATCAATGGGATCTTTGCTGACCTTGTTGGGCACCAGAAGCAAAATAGTCATACAGATAAAATATTTGCAGGACAATGCAAATACAGACAAACTGAATATGATTGAGCTTCAACAAAAAAACTCATCATATCTAAGCTCAATTGCCCAAGACCATTCAATAAAGAGAAAACAGTGCCTTAAATGAATGGTCCTAGAACACATGGTAAACTATATGCAAAAGAATAGAGCAGCAGACTGTGCCAGAGGATACACAAATTAAGTAAAAATGGATCAAAGATCTAAATGCCAGAGCTTATGTTGTAAAACTCTAAGCAATAAACAAATGGAAAAATATTAATAACTTTCTATATGGCAATGTATCTTGTATTTAACAAAAATTATAGATAGTGATACAAGAAAAAGTAACTTAAGCTTCATCCAAATTAAAATCTTTTGTGCATCCTAGAGTCTAAGAAATTGAGATTGGCTCTGGCGGTGCAGACTTGAACATTCACCTATGAGAAAGTCTTACAAGACTTAGGATTGCAAAAACAAGGCCAGTCTGTCCAATTTAGTGAGACCCTGTCTCAAAGTATAACAATGGCTGGAAATATATCTCAATGATAAAGTTAAAGCCTGGTATGTACAAGGAAGTCCAAGTTAAGTTTCAGTACCACAAAAAAGGGAAAAGGGGAAATGAAAGAATTAAGATATATAATCCAGTTACTAAAGAAAAGTATTTGCAATTACTTATAAGAGTCTAGTATACAGGATTTATAAAGAATTTCTTCAACTCTATTCACCATCAAGGCAAAAAGACTAGAAAGTACTTCCTCTAAGAACAGTATAAAAATGGTAAACAAATACATTGAAAAGTATGGAAGTGCATTACTAACCAAGAAAAAGCATATTGAATTATGAGGAACTACTTTAACTCTGCTAGGATGACTAATATCATAAAGAGACACAGACACATATGAGTATTCAAATGGATACAGAGAAAATGCGGTCCTTATATATTACTAGTGGCAAGGTGAAATTCTGCATCTAATTTGAAAAGAAGAGACAAATAGATGCACATAAATACAGCAGAATTATTGTTATAAACCAGAAAAGAGCAAACATGCAAATGTCTATTAACTTATATGTAAATAAATACAAATGATATCTATATAATACATTCATATTCTGCAGTTCGAAAAAAATGAAATATTGAAACCTGTTGTATTATGAACCTTGAGAGCATTACATTAAGTAAAAGAAATCTGTTACGGAAGGCTACGTAATACATGGATGTATTTCTGTTAACTTCTGAAATAAGGCAAATATATAGAGAAAGAAAATAGGTCAATGTTTATCCAGTAGTTGACAAAAAGTGGGAAAGGGGCCAGGCAGTGACAGCACATGGAACGCATTACATGCCAGCCAAGGCTACACAGAGAAACCCTGTCTTGGAAAAAAACAAAAAAGTGGGAAAAGGGAAAAGGAAGAAAATACTGAATACATGTAATGGAATACTCATTTCTTTGGGGAGTAAAATCTGAACTTCTATGCAAATAAGATCATATTAATGGTTATTGAGTTCTCCACTTAAAAAAACTACATTTCATAGTATGCAAATCATTTCAATAGCACTATTGATATAGAGAGTAAAAGTTATGCAAAGCACTTGCTTGCTTTATGTAACATCCCTCTTCTTTGGCTTGAATACTGTCTCTTCTAATTTTCTACAATATTCTGTCTCTTGATCACATTTTTTCCTCCTCTTTTATTTTATCTCTCTTACCATTCTGTTTGTCAATGGAAGAAATGACTTTTGTCCAGGATACTACTTTCATTGATTCGGAATGGGCTCAGCTAGGAAAATGGACTTTACTTGCTCATTCACCTAGAGTACAGATTTTCCAAGATCTATCATTGAGATAAATTGTGGCATTTCAGTAAGAGGTAGGTGTACAATATAAGCTCCTGGATTAATATCTTGGAATATCTTTCACCTTTGGGGCTTTCATATTTATATAATATGATTGCAGGACAGTGGTGGTATTTAAAGCTAGAAGAAAGAGTTTTTCTTTTATTTTAGCTTTCTAGACACTAATTCCTTCACTTAAAGTTATATGTGTATAGGTGAACATGTGTGGAAGCAAAAAATGTCAGTTATGACATAAATATCCTCTTGCAATTTATATAATGTGATTTCAGTCATCTTTCATCTACACTATCAATTCTTCTCTAAGGGTCAATTGCTTCAGAGTAATAGGAAGCTGAGAAGAGAGGGAATTTGATTCAGAAAGGGAAGATACTGGGATAACATTACTTCAAGTTTGTCGACACCGAGAACAGTACTCTGAGGACATAGGGGGTTATTGTTCTACTTTACTGAGATATTTCTGGAGAGACACAGGCTATGAAGACATTATATAAAGAAACATACGCTATTCAGAGCAATAGTCAACAGATCACAGACAAACTCGGATTCACTGTAAAATTTCCTGGTCAGTAATTAAATGGAATCTCATTTTTGTCATTCCAGAGAAAGGAAATACATACTTCTCGGCAAGTTGCTACAAATACATCAAGAACAGTTATAGTAAGGGAAATATTGATTTCAAATATTATGAGTGACTAGGAAAGAAATATAGAAGTAAACCAAATTTAACTCCAAGAGCTATTTCAGTCGATAATTTATATATATATACATATATATGCATATATATGTTGTATATATGATTATATAGAGAAGGACCTGGAGACACCTCAATGACATTAACTCATCTTTTCATTCAAAATTGGAAATTACTTCCTTTCCTTGCTTGTCTTTTGCAACTGTGGACCTCTCTACATGAATGGAAGCATAAACTATATAGCAATATTAAATGTGAAATGGACGTACGGACACTGAAGTGTTCACAGCCAGTCAACTTATCAATGGATTTACAAGCCTCCTCTGTCTTCAGCATTTCTTTCTGCCTTCTCTTGCTTTCTGGATCATTATTCAGAATCTTGTTCCTCAGCCAGGTCAGATGATACACGCGAAGTCTGTTCTTGTGGCCTGGTAGGAACACATGATGATATTTCAATTCTCTCTTTCCTTTTACAATTTAGGAATACAAAGAAGTAGCAGTGTACTGCTCTTTAAATCAAATGTTCATTAAACTAAAAGTCACTATTAATAACTAACATGATATTTCTGTCTTCTGTCTTAATTCTAAGAGACAGTTGGGTTTTGCTGCTGCCTCTGTGCCTATCTGAAGTGGATCTAATATACTCTACTAGGGTAGGATAAGAATGTCTTTAGGCAGTCAGCCCAATGACTATCTATTCATTTGAACTTTGCTAAGGCATGGTTCCTGTATGGTTCCCAGATTTGCTAAGGCTGTTCCTGGTATTATGTATGGATGAGAAGATTTTTGAGTACTGACTGTTTGGGCATTCGGGACAGGAATATGGATCTCCTTAGTTTTCTCAGCCTGGTATGTTGATAAATGGATTGGACACATTTATTATTTCTTCAATAATTTTATCTTCCAAATTTTTATTTGCCTTTTAAGGCTTTTATTTTTATATATTTATGATGTATAATGTGGTATTTTTATTCATGTAAACATTGAGAAATAAGCATATTTATTACTTAATTTTGAAATTAAGGCTGAGAGAGCATCCCTCTTTGTGTTATGAACATACGAAATCCGTTTGTATGCCAAGGAAGAACACTGATCCACTGCCCAAGGCCCCATAGGTTGCCCAGGCCTCCTCACTGACTCTCACACTCAGGGTGTCTGGATCAGTCCCATGCTGGCCTCCCAGCGTCGGTCTGGGGTCCAAGAGCTCTCCCCTGTTCAGATCAGCTGTCTCTGCTGGTTTTGCCAGCCTATTCTTTGCCAATTTGCTCATCGCTCTTCTCTCTCTGTCACTGGGTTCCTTGGGTTCAGTTCAGTGTTTAACTGTGGGTGTTTTCCTCTGCTTCCACCAGTCATTGGATGAAGGCTCCAGGATGGTTATAGACATCAAGTTCATTGAGTTTATTTCTAAAGCGATTTGCCTTTAATCACACCTTGAAGCCAAATGAATCTCCTCCAGTCATATGGCAATTTGCACATTAATCTATATTCCACATATATATTGTAAAGTACAAAAACTTATATAAACATCAGTGGTTGGTATGGTTTTATTTGGTGGCCAAATCTTACCTTGACCATTCCCATTAATTTAGTAGTTGTCTTTTGGTTTTCTGATACTAATTCCTGTTTAGTGTTAGGTCTCAAACTCAGGACAAAGGGCTAACTAAGGTGCTTATCAACATATCAATGCAGACACTGGCTGCTAGGTTCTCCCAGCATCCCCCAGTCCCCACCTGTTACAGGATCCTCCTTGCTGGCATATCCTGCCCCCCACCTTGAAGTCTCCAGCCCAGGAGCTGGGCCGCCTTTCTCCCAGCTGCTCTTTCATACTTACCCCAGCCATTTGGATACACTGATTTTTTCACTCTGTTGCCTTTTGGTCTCCTGGCCTCTTGGCTGCCACTCCAGGTTCCTGTCTCTCCCTCCCCTCCCCTCTCTTCATATGGACTATTCAGTCTGCTGGTCCTGTCCACTCTGGACTCTCCCGCATGCCTCTGGCCATGCTCTCCCACAGGTCTACGATAAACTTTCTTCTCTACCATGCCCCGGAGTAGTCATGTCCTCCTTTTCTTCATTTATTTTCATTAATTTAGTAGTCACCATTTAATACCAACTTACTTGCTTTTCCATAGTCAGCATTTCAGACTCTAATTATGAAAATTATGAAAATCAACTACTGTTTGGGAAAGGTATAGATCTTTTTAGGGAATCCATTCTTGTAACTAATCTTGTCTATTTGCCCTTGTAATATTAGGTGGAGACAAGGTCAATTCATTTTTACCCAATTACTTATTCACTTGTGTTCTGCACACATCAAAAGCTAGATGGTGGATATTGGTGTAGTCCCTCGTATGTGAGAATACAGCTCTGAAGTTTTGGAGACATCTCTGAAAAGAACTTCTAAGGATGCAAATGTAATTTTCTTGATCTCCAACCTAGGTTAAGTGCATCAAGATCAACGGGATTTTGTTTAGAGTGTAAAATGTACAAAAACACAAGTAGGAGATTCTGCTGTCCCAATTAAAGGTTATATTTAAAGTGTCTTCCTATGAATACTTTCACCTATGAAAGCCTTTAACCTAGTTTGTAGTTCAATTATTTTCCATAATTACTCAGTTAATTTTAGGACTTAAACAAACCAGAGATGGTAATCAGCAAATTGAGTGGCTCCACAACTTGAATCTGGCGGAACGGTCTTCGCTTTATAAGTTTAATGATGTCTGCCTTTCCACTTCTGTCCATCAGGTACAGATTAGATTTGGTGCCCAGCAACAAATTGACTCCTGTTAAGATATAGAAAAGTGCTGTATTAGCTGATAATTTATATTAGTGTATATTAATTCTACAGAAAGGGTTTTCACTATGATGCTTCTATACTCATCTATCATGCAATTTAATCAAAAACACTCTAATCACCCTCCTGTTTTTATACTTATCTGTCACATAACTTAATCAAAATCACTCTCATTACCCTCACTTCCACTCCTCTTCCATTTCCCTAATAGTCTCCATTTGATTTTTAGGACCTTAAGAAAAATAAAACTAGATTTTTGCATGTGAGGGGAACTGTGATATTTGTCTTTTCACATTTGGGTTATTTCAATATCCATTTGTACCCTATTTTCCTATAAACATGATTCTGCTCTTTTTCGCAGCTGAATAATACTGTAGTATGTGTATGTGTATTCCACATTTCTTTACACTTTAACCATTGATTTTCTATCTAAATATATATGTATAATTACTTTTATTATTGCACTTTGACATTTCAGGCTAATATTAGCCTTGTTAATATCATAATATTCAACTATGTACATTCCTAACAGTCTGTTTCATTAAAATGTATAAGTAGATGTACATACATACTAGCAATATTCTATTGCCTGCTGTCTAGTGTGTCATCTAACATACCCAATATTAGGTATGTCATAGCACTATTTCTTAATTGTCACAAACATTTCCAGAATCAATCAGACCTTCTGAATGTTGCCTGTAAGCAAATTTGTCTACATATATAGTTAATTTTGGTTCATTTTCTAGACATCAGCTACATTTCCAGGTACTTGGCAGACTCAAGTGCTCATGCATTATAGTCTGAGCACCAAGCTAAAAAATTGTTGAGGATGATCATTTTCTTCTAAGGGCTCAGTCCCTATAGTTAAAGTTGCTAATCATTTGCATTTCTCTTTTAAAACCCATCTTCTGTTCGTACATAGGCAAAAATCTATGAAGTATTAAGTTAGAAGTTGGTGTTTACTTTGGACCCTGGTTGAATTAAGTTATTTTATAGCAATGTACTGTGCAGACTAGTTTAGGATAACCTATATATAATCTCAGTTCTACTGCAATGGTCATAAATTTTCTGAAACAAAAAGTTGAAAAAAAACCTGTCAAATTCACAGAGAGAACTTATACATCTTCTACACTGAAAAATTGCAAGATCCTGCAGAAATCTTCCTTGTACTAAGTATATACTTAGATAATATTAAACTTAAGTTAAAAAGCATGAAGAAGTGCAAGATATTAATTCAAAAAGCTAAATCAGCCTTGAACCAATTACTATAAATTCATTTTTAATTGACTGGCAATGCCAAAATATTTTACTTTTACAAGCTTCACAAGTTTTCCACACAAACATGGATTTAAAAAACAAAAGAAAATTCAGTTTCAAGGACTCCAACTCACCCCACAAAGAACCACAGCAGATCTCAGATGTGAACTCCTTTTCATACACATGAATTAGTGGTTTGTTACATGCTGGGGAGACACAGAATGGGTTAACATTATTTCAGATGGTAACTGAGGAGGTTTTTCAGGAACCTCAACAAATCCAGCATATACTGCAAAGGGAAAGGCCCTAAGACAAAACACTCATCTATTTACTAAAGGTGCCAAGTATTTCCAGAATGGAGACGGCCCCTCAAAGTTGGGTTTCCTTGCATTTTATGCAACTTTTAGTAAATTCTTAACTCCTTAGAAAATACAAAATGTAGTGGTTAGATACATTCCTGAGTATGGATGTGATTTATGGTTTGATCATATTGCAAAACCAATAATTGTACGAAGCACTCAATTTATCAGTTGCAGATCAAATTTAGTCACCATAAAGATTCAGTAATAGCTGGGTGTGATAGTGAGGGCCTGTGGTCCCAGGAAGATGAGAATTCAGTGCCAGTAAGAGCTATAGAATGTCATCCTGGTTACATGAGACTCGCAAAAATCTAAGGAAAAGGAAAATATTTCATTGAGGAGTAATTATAAAAATTATATATTATTGGCTTTTTTAGGTACATATGATGTGGATGGTTCTCTCCTTCCACCATGTGGGCCGAAGGAATTAAACTTGTTAGGCTTGGTGGCAAATACATTTACCTTCTCACTCATCTTGCCAGTCTGAAGAATACGTTTTTTAAAAGCATTCATAGATCTCATCTCATACCAAATGCATATTCAAATTCCTTGATTATTATGCACATAAATTACTGTACCATCAAGTAAAACATTCACCATGAGAAGATCACACCAGAAATACTCACTGTTGGCGCTCTCAGTGTCAATATCAGAAGCAGAAGCAGACCCTCCAGAAGGTGAGTGGACTATAGGAAATCCCACTGTTGTTGATGACTCTGATATATCATTGGGATTCTCACCATCAAGTCCAAGGGATGTGTCATCCAAGGCAATTGAGTCTGAGGTCTCAGTTCCACCATCTGAATCCTATAAGGAGACCAAAGGCCATTTCTTACTTTATTTGGCTAGTAACTGGAAAAAATGCTATGGATAACTTGAAAATTTGAATGGAAATTTTGTAATACTTACATCCTTAAAATTCCATATTTACTAAAAATATTCAACAGTCTCATCAGAGAAATAAGCTGCTATTGAGATAGTGTGAGGGGAGAAACAGAAGGAGCATCAAGTTGCCAAATGTACACTTTCAGATCTAATATTTGTGGCAATATATCAGGTTCTATGATAGTAATCTCATTTATATATCTCTATGTACATTTACCACAACATAAAAAGTAAATACCTCTGATTTTGCTTAGGAAACAAAATCATAGAGAAAGTAAAAGTTTTCTATATCAGAGAGCTGATAAGTAGGGGATTTAAGGTTTGAAAGGAATCTAATCCCAAAATGTATATACCAAATAACCACTTTGAAAAAAAGCACACTATGAGGATATCTCATCCATTAGTTTAAGGTTTCTATGAGCCCACAATACTGTCCACACCCATTTTGAACAGTATTGTGGGATCACCCCTACAGTCTACAGTGCTGGGTCTTATGGCAAATGTATAAATTTATGGCACTTGCAAGGCTCAGGTCATGAGTCTTAGGCCAGTCTGTGCTGAAAAATAATTTTCAGGCTAACATGGGCCTACAGATATAGGCCCTAACCCTAAAATTGAAAAATAAAACAAAACAACAACAAAAAACTGACAAAACTATGACAAAACAATACAGAACACAAAATAAGAATACAAGAAAAAAAGATGGCTTAAAAGAACTGACATTAAGAAGAACCATGGGGAGTGTGGTTCAAATGATCAAACAAAAGATAGACAACAAAAACACAAACTTAAAACAATCCTAGAGTAAGCATATTTCACTATAATCTTTCATGCTTCTATTAATGGAATAGACATTCAAGGAATAAGAACTTCATGTGTGACAGTTCTATATTCAATACATGGAAAATTATCAACTCTGTTGAGGCTACTGAAGGTCAAGGGAAGAATTAGGAGTTAATTAAATCTACCAGCCTAGATGTCTAACAGATTAATTGGAAAACAAAAATAATTCTACTCAGAGAGAAACATCCTTCTAGATCTTTATGATAGACATACAGACTCTAGTAATGGGTCAACAGAGTTGAGTGGAGGGAAAAGGTACAGTTGAGGGAGCAGGGGAATGGAAGGAAGAGGAGGACCAACGCAAACAAAGCATGTGTGACAATGCTATAAAGAAATCCATCATTCTATGTGCTATAAAATGCAAATAAATATAAAATGCTAATGGTTGCACAATATTGTACATGTCTAAAATGCTAGTGATTTGAATACTTGGAAAATTTCAGCATGTATATTCTATGTCTATAAATGTCTATAAATAATACTACGAAATAGTAGTATTTGAAATACTTTGAAATACTTCCCCAAGGACATGATCTTACTTAAAATAAAATAAATCAAGTTTTTTTGTCCTTGGAGGTATATAGTGAAGTATTTAGTGAAGATTCCCATGCACTTATAATTATTTATTTCAAAATTTGGGGTACAAGAATATAACCAATATTGATTAGCTCTAATATTGTATATCATGTGCTGATATATGTTTACAAGAGAAGTATATTCTTGTCTTCAAATGCTTCATTACCTCTTGTTCATGTTCAAAATCCTGAAAAATGTGTTGATCCAGTCCTGCACCATCTTCCTGCGAGTAGGCTTCTTCTCGACAGAATCCATATGCTCCATTTTCTTCACTGCTGTCATTGACTCCTCTGTATCTGTTACCTCTATTGGCTCCATGCCCATCCTGGTCTCTAAAGGCAGCACTCGCTTCAGCGGCACTGTTTCCTTGATAACCTCTGGCTCCATTGTTTCTATAGGCTCTGAACGCTCCCCGCTGTACATTACTTCCACCACTACCACCTTTCTTCAATATTCCCTGTCTGCGATAGCTTGCCCTATTAACAAGGACAAATTAATGAAAGGTCATACAATAAAACCACAAATCAAAGCCAGAAAATGAAAGAGAAATCAGATTTTATATACACATACAGAGACCCATGTATGTTATGCTCAGGAATGACTTTGCTGTTTGTAAATGCTTTTGGTCTTATATGCACATGAAAAATTCCTCAACATTAAATACTGAATTAACATGATAGTCACTGTCAATTGTTTGTCATCATTATGGTGACAGAGGAAAAAGAACTGCACTCTGATAGTAGATACACATGACTGGTTAGAGCAGAAAATACTCATTTTTCTTAAATAGCTGAATAATTTATCAATAAATTCTAGTTATATTACTGATCAAACCCATAGAAATACTAGAATATTTTTCAGTATTCAGAATACTGTCTAAAATTGACAGTATTCTGTCAATTTTAACATATTTACATGTATACCAACAGCTCTGCTATAGACCGTTGGTCAATATTCTCACCAGAAAGTTCAAGTCATATTGGCTCCATATGTTAGAGGATGATTAAGATAATCACATAATCAGGGTTTATAAATGTTAAGTTCTAAAAATGTCCAATATTTCATATTGCATGGAAAACAATATTAAACATATGACCCTAAGATCATAAATGAAAATCTATGTGAAAATGGAATTCTTTGTAGATCTTCTATTTGGGGGAAAGAATCCAAAAGATTTTATGATAACTTCTCCACTAATTAAACTAATAAAGATCATCCTAAATTTATAATATACATAGCAAAATTTCAACTCTGTGAAATTCTTAGCTATTTTTCAGATAGTGGTATATTTCATTTTGTACCCCAATTTTCATTGTGATTTTGTAGGGAAGGGAGATATAGTGGAATTAATTTTAAGAGAAATAATCAAAAAATCTCACTTATCAATAAACTAATAAAAAACTGAATTTAAATTGTATGTAAATAACTCAGAATTACATGTTCTACATTAGAAAAATTGAAATGACACTACTGAACATTTACCAATATGTAAGTAAGTGAAATTCATTAATTCTTTTAATATTGTGTTAAATTTAAAAATAAACCAAATATGCCAATAGTTATGAACTTATAAGCATCTACAGGATAATAACAGAGACAAACTAACCTTGGCCCATTGGCTGCAGAACCCAGATTATCATCTATGTCACGAACAGATCCATCTTCATAGTCACCTTCACCACGGACTTTATAGACATTTGCTTGATCAACCTGGTTATTCCAGCCATAATGGCCATTGACATGGTCATAGGTATCTTCATAAGCATCGTAAGAAGCCGCCTCATCACCATCAATATTAGCACCAGCATCATAGAGTTCAACATAATCACCATCTTCTTCAGGTGGCTGAATGACAGGTGCAGGAATTAACCAATCATCCCAGAAGATTTCAGAGAGTGCATTATAGCCTACCCATTCATTTGTCAAGTATACAGGGGGTGATATTTTTCCCACTTTAAATCCATCTGGAACCTGTGTGCACAAGAAAGGTTAAGGTAGTCTCTAATAGCCTTTTCATTTTCTTTAGATATTGGAAGTTTTCAAAATGACAACATTTTAAAACATGTTAAAAGTATATTCTTTACTGAAACAAAGATGTCCACAAAGAGCAAATATTTTAGTGAAGATGAGTTGCCCAAATCCGAACATTAGTAATTATTAGTGGACTTTGTAGATCACACAGCAAATTTACTCACTGTTTTATTAACCCTACTTGCCTGCTGAGGAGTAGACATTTGTTTTTGAGGCTAAACAGTATAACTAGAGAAAGTCTGTTTTTTTTTCCTTTTGTTTTTTCCTAACACTAAGATTATGGTATAGCTCTTGAAATAGATAGGTTATTTTCCAAGTTTTGTCTACATATGCCATATATTATCTTAAATTATTTCAAATGCCTCCAAAATGCAAATGAAATCAAATGCAATTCTTACATTAAGCATAAACATGTATATGATAGAGTAAAGGTATTATGAAAATGAAATATTATGATCTGAAAGCACATTGCAAAAGTTTAGGGATGCCTTTTACTTATATGATCAGAAGACACTATTTTTCACGAATATTTTGTCTCATTATCTAAGGAACACTATTAAACAACTGCTGAAAATTTGAAATATACATCTTGGTCATATCTTAGTTTTTATAAGTATCTGCTTGTCATTCCTACCTACTCTATCTCTATTTTGTGTGGTACTGGAAATGAGTATGCTAAGCAAGCATTGTACCACAAGACTATCCTTCACACCTATCATCAACACATTCTGACAAAACTCTAAAAATACAGTACTGTCTGATCGGAAAAGTACTTTTTCCCCAATTCTTTTTTTTTGTTTTTGTTTTTTACGAGACAGGGTTTCTCTGTATTGTTTTGGAGGCTGTCGGTCCAGCCCGGCCTCGAACTCACAGAGATCTGCCTGCCTCTGCCTCCCAAGTGCTGGGATTAAAGGCGTGTGTCACCACCGCCTAGCTCCCCATTTCATTTTTAAATTCAAAATTTTATATTTCGAATACTTGCCCAACAATGTGATCTTTGTAAATAAAGACTAATATAACACATTTCAACTCTTTTACTCCATTTAAAAATATTTTCTCTGTGTGTTTGCCTGTATGCATATATGTACACTTTGTGCCTTCCTGGTGCATACAAATGCCAGAATATGATGTTGAATCTTCTAGAACTGGACTTGAATGTGATTGTGAGTTACCATATTCATTCTGGAAAACACACCCTAGTCTTCTGAAACAGAAACAAGTACTGAGCTACCAGTCCATGCTTAGCCTCCGTGTTTTAAGATCAGAAACAGTTGGCCAAACCAAACTGTTAGTAAAAATATATAGAAATGCATCATGAGATTAACCTACATGGATGTCAATCAGTAACTTCTGATCAATAGTAGAATAAGGCGGCGACGATTGGGACTTCCTCCTAGTCACAGGACTCTCCTCCTCAGAAGATGATTCTATGGATTTCCAAAAAGGACATTAGTAACAACAGTGATTTCACAACTACTTCAATTTGTGTAGGTGTCAATTCAACACCTTATTGTTTTTCTTTTAGCCTTTGTCATCCTTTTATGGAAGTATCTTCTCATATTAAAACCTATTGTGGCTGTGATCCTGCGTTATGCTTTCAAGATACTAGCACGCTCACGTTTTGTTCATATTGTAGACCTACAGGCATTTCTATCTTCAATATTTAATGTACATTTGATAAATCTATCAACCTTCCCATATTTAACCAAGTTATGCATTCCCAAATATTTTGATAAAGATTAAGAGTAAAGTAATCAAAATTATAAAACTTAACTGTGTATCACACAGCTGGAAAGTTTATAGTAATTTATGAAAAAACTTTCTGATGTGATGGAAATATTCCGTGTCTGTCTGGCTAATGAACATTTGAGAGTATTGAATATTAACCACTGGATCAGCAGAGTAGCTACTGAGCATTTAAATAGAAATAGGATGTTAAAATATTTAATTTTTGTTTTAGTTTTCATTTTAATAATCACAGGTGACCTGTTTACTGTCATATGGGATAGCACAGTTACATTATGAAAATATTTCTACTTAAATAAAATTCTTTCAGTTTGTAAGTACAGGTTTTAAAAACTGTCGTGTGGTAAATAATAAGTTGCACTGAAAATTCAGTGAGGATATATAATAGGCTCAGAAATCAGTGGAGTCTATGTGAACATATTTATTATAAAAAGGTTTCCCAAAGGAATACTGGATCCATGTTTATTTCTAGGAATATTGAGTATAAATACTGCTGCCCTTCTTTTATCAGCAAACTAACTAAATATAGTCAAAGTCTAGATACTACATATTGAAAACCATTATAATGCTGCTACATTTTGAGACTATTATACCTCCTATCCTAGAATGTGTATTCTTGCCTTCTAGTGTTGTAAATTTGGTATTTATTATTTTTTTCAGGAAGTAATACTTTCAGGTTGAGTGTCTGATGATTTCTCTGGCACATTGACAGTGAGGTGATTTCCTCTCTGAGGAATCCTAATCTGCTGGGAATCTCAGCTGTTCTGTGTCATACACATAACAGTCCCAGCCCTGAAAGATTTAGCTTGTATTTGCAGAAATAATGTTGTTTCCGTCTATCAATGGTGATGGGTTATTTTCTTTCAGAAAGGTAAGTGAGTGAACTGTAAAATTGATGTGTTCGCTATGTATTAGCAAAGTTTTACCTGACCAAACCAGAAGGAAAACATTCCTAATACTTTGCTTTATCTTTTTGGAATATCATTTCTATGTGAGATATACTATGAAAAGAATTTTTCACCATATTATTCTCCTAAGCTAGAGTAGGGGTTTTAAAGTTAAGAAATTTGAATATTGGGTTTTCTATATCCCTTATATATAAACATTTAGCAAAAATTCATATGCTACATTTTTATAAATAATGTGATGGCTTGATCAGGAAATGTCCTCTAATTAAACTATGTTCCATAGTTATAACTGTAAAATGCCAATTTTATGACCTAATGCACAATTTTTTACTTTCCTAATGTCTAAAAATGTATAACAAATTTAAAGTCTACTAAATTCACATCACCACTAAAATACTTGACTGAAATTAATATCAAAATTTGAGAAGCACTCTTGGCATTACTTGATGAATTAATTTTTCATGCATTTTTGAAGAAAGCCATGGGTTTGAAGCATTTAAGAAATATTTGTGTGATATTGTGTATACCATATTTTGGAGAGGTGAGATAAAATGACCAGTAAAACTTACTCTCACAGTTATTCTACTTATATTGTAAAGGTAGCCTAATTAATTTTGGCTAGTCAAAAAATTGTCTTCCAAGTTCTTATGTTGTATAGGAACTAAAGGAAATGATCACTTTCTTTTTCTCAGAGGTCATCACTAATCACTAATACCAAATCAGATCAACTGCTTGTTTTAATATTGCCTTCATTTAATCTTTCTCAAAAATCTTCTTTACTTCTGAAATATAAGCTGTTAAGTATTAGGCCTATGTAAGACTGTTCTAACTTTGAGTTTCAAATCACCTGATTCTGCTTGGTAATTGTGAAAATTTAGGGAACTCCTCTGTCTGATGTCCATCGGCCGTTGAGCTTCTTCGAAAATAGGCCTCTGAGAGACACTACAATGATAAAGAGACAAAAGGTTTAATGAAGAAATGCGTATAATAATGATAAGCATACTGTGATGTTACCTTCATCTCTTACAATCATCTGTGTAAGAAAACCAAACCGAACCAAAGAAAAGAAAAACATGAAGGACTGTGACACAAATGCTAGAGTATATATAATTCAACACAGAATGGTTTTCTTAAAACTCTATTATATATAGCACTGAAAAATTGGAGCATGAATGTTATTTTCCAATTTTAATTTCCTAAACCTATTTTATCTACGATAGACAGTTTCCATATGTAGAAATAGAGGAAAGCACCTTTCAATATAATACGTATTTCCTTCACATAATACACTTTCTCCAATGTTCAAAGTAATATTCAGATAAAATTATCCAGATAACATCAGGAAACAAAATCTTCTAGTGCATAATAGAGTTTTAACATGGAAAATACAGAGTATTTTATTACAAGTATTCCACTGTTATCCTGTTTTTACTTGCCCATAATTCACGTTTTAAATATATTGTTCCTGGTTTGAATAGGTAACAGTTTGGATACATGCGTATCCATTTTCAAATGCCAGTATAGTTAGTTTTATTTGCTTTCAGTTTTCTATCTAGGAAGGAGTCCCTTTGTTAATTCAAGTTTATAACAGACCAAAGACATTAGTGTGGCCCATCATTTCAGGAGAAAATCGATATTCATTTATAGTAATTTTATAAATTTATTTTTGTTTGTGAGTCCATTAAAGCTTCATATTTTTATAAATTTACAGAAAATTTATTTGTAGAAAATGTATGTCATTAATCAATTAAAAATCCGTTTGTATAGTTACCAACCACTCTCAAGTTAACATTAATTTTAAATTTTATATACTGAATTGTATTAGAATTATGTTCAATGGCACTACAATTCATTCACAACTAATCTGGTTTCTTCTCTTTGAGGTTAGAAGTATCAAGGTAACTCAGGCATTGAATGTAGAGAAAGAGTTCTCAATCTTACTTTCTAATATTTAAAATTTTCTTCCTCAGGCTTTGTGTATAATTAAAGTCACAAGACTTAAAAATAATGTTTAATGTTGTATGGCTGTTTATTATGTGTGAACTCTCTATCATCTGTCCATATTGTGCAGTCTCTTTAATTTTACTATATTATATGATGAGTATATAATTGTTAATATCCAAATTCTGTAATTATGACGTTCATTTTCAGTGTGTGTGTGTGTGTGTGTGTGTGTGTGTGTGTGTGTGTGTGTGTGTGTGTGTGTACATGGACCTGGAAATAAAAACATTCCATGTCACACATGTGGAAATCATAGGGACAACTTGTGGAATTTTGTTCTTTCTGACTGTGTCGGTTATGGGAACTGAATTCAGTCCATTAGGCATGACGTAATGCGCTTTTACGCTCCGGCCCCACCCCAGCCACCTCACTGGCCCTGTCTAATAATACATGGAATGATCAATAAGTATTTACTGAATGTCAGACTGAACATAGGCTTTATTGTGAGTTTGGTCCATTTTAAAATTGTCATTCACATCTAATGCATGCCACAGAACACCTGACTTATGGAACATAATCTTTGAAAATTACAATGGTTTCTTTTTTTATTTTAGAGACACTCTTATTTACATATACATCCCCTCGTTCCCTCACCCTCTGATCCTTCCATGCTTCCCACCAACCCCCCAACCCATGCCCCATCCACACCCCAGGGATAATGAGACCCTCCACGGGGAATCATCAAAGTCTGTCACATCATTTGGGGGAGGGCCAGGTCCTCCTTGCCATATCTGAGCTGCAATAGTATCCCTCTATAGGGAATGGGCTCCCAAAGTCTATTTGTGGCCCAGGAATAAACACTGACTCCACTGTTAAGAGGTCCCATAGACTGCCTTGGCCTCCTAGCTGGTGCCTATATTTAGAGGCTTGGTTTGGTCCAATGCTGGTTCCCCCACTTTATGACTAGGGTCTGTGTGCTCTTACGAGGTCAGGTCAACTGTTTCTGCAGAATAGTTTCTATGTTGCATATGTCATCTATTTATAGGACAATGATTTATATATTTGTTCTTGACCTCAGAACACTTTCAGGCTTTTCTGCTCTCTGGCATTAGCTTCTGCACTTGTGAATAATTTGTTTTATCATATTGTATACATAGGGAAACTTACCTACATTTATCAAATGATTAGTATCAGGTAAATTATTGTGATTACTTTTCTCACTATATTTTCAAAATTGTTAGGTAATTATTGAATTGAAGCACATGGAGTAGACTATGAAAGCTGTTATTATTGGATAATTGCAGTTAAATTTTCAAATGTAAGTTGATTTTGGTTAATTGTCATGGTGTGAGTGATAATTTTGTTTTGTCTTAACATGAAAATTAATTTCAAAGAAACAAAATTTTGTTGTTTTATTGTTGTTGTTGTTGTTTCTCAAAACAGGGTTTCTCTATGTAATAGCACTGGCTGTCCTGGAACCCACTTTTTAGACCAGGCTGGCCTCGAACTCACAGAGATCCGTCTGCCTCTGCCTCCCAAGTGTTGGGATTAAAGGCGTGGGCCACGACTGCCTGGCCCAAATTTTGTTTTTTATCTCACAGTTACTCACAAATAATTTAAAAATGGAAGCACATACCTTGAAGAAAATTTCACACGATGGGTACGATTCCGGTTGCAAGGCATAGAAGCAGATCTCTCGTGGACCTTAGAGATGCAATGCAATCAATAGTTTGATAAAGTCTTAACCATAAATTCTTTTGTGTTATTAATTTATTAGAAAATGTCTTTCTTCACATATATTTTTCACAAAAATCAAACTTAAAATCACAATTTTTATAAATCGATCTTATTTGTATAATTTTTAACCTTAGAACTTAAGTATCATAATGTCTTATGGTTTCTTTGATCATTAGCATAGATGTAATCTAGAAATAATGTAATCAAAACTTTACATTTTATTATTGCGTAATCCTTAGCCTAGAAAAATTAATGGCTTTTCTAAAAATTTACAGGTCAAATTAAAATCTAAAACCAGCTTTCTTTTCAACCAAAAATTAAGAATTTAAGTTCAAACTAATGCCAATCTAAGCTAACTCTAGATTTTCACACATAAAATTCATTATAATTTCTTTGAGAAAGTATGTCATAATAAGTGTTCCAAATGCTTTTTGCCTCTAAGCAAATTATTTTGAAATTTTCTTACCATACACTCATTTAATATAGTAAACTACTCAAGAAGAGCACATACAATGTTGGTTTACATCAATGGAGCAAAATTACTTTCTGTTAGTAACACCAGGCAGATCCATAGTCTATTGCCTTGTTTAATCTAATTTCAAACCACTAAGTTTTTACTTCCGGTAACTTTCTGCTGTGCCCCCCAGTAGGCTATTCTAACATGCAATAAGAAAGCCACTAGACTCTTTAGAGAGGAAATTGCATCCTTTTACTCATAAAGAAAAATCTAGTGTATTGTAAAAAAATAGATTTCCTTTAATTCCTAGAAACTGTACTTATCCTTCATACATTAGTTTGCCTTATGAAGAGACTTATCACTTATTTATATTTTATATTAGGTCTCCCTATGTTCTAAAGGCTGTCCTAAAATTTCCAAACTCAAATGATCCTCCCACCTCTGTCTCTCCTATAACTGATACTACATGTATGTACTGCCACCACAGCAGCGTCAATAAAGTAAGTGACACCTATTAAATCAATTGTCGAAAATCACTAAATGTGTATAATAGTAAGAAATGAAAGGACAAGGCTTAATCTGAGTTGGCATTCTTTGGTTTGAAAAATGGGAGATGGAAAACAATCAGTGAGACTGCATGTATTATGTTCCAAACCAAACATTGATCATTCGCTGCATGTCTTGCTTAGTGTCAAGTTAAATATAATAACTACAATCTGGGAATATAAGCAAAGCCAAGTGTTAAGGCAGCAAGGAAGACATTATTGACTATTGTAATTAACTGACACAGTCCCACTTATCTTCCTTCTGTAAATACATAGTATGTATAAAACAATAATCTTAACTAGGCAATCATGACTAAGTACCTAAGAAACTTGAAGAAGTCTTGAAAAAATTTCACAGTAGAATTCTGTGAGGTATCTTATGCTGATTAAGTACAATAATGTGACTCCTAAACCACCACTGCCCGAGGAGCGTTAGTGTTATTTATCTGCATACTAATTAATTTCAGTGACCAAAAGGAATTTGGAATGTTGGCTGTTAGGAATGCAAGTCATGATACTGCTACCATGTCTCCCTATAAGAAGTAAACTCACAATGGCATTCTCACAAATATGTGTTATGAATACGCCATTTTTTGATGTGGTCATCAAAACAGAAGTCATCCTGACATGTAATCATTTAAATTTTTGTATGTGAGAAAATGAATCATAGATTAACTGACTCAGATCTTTGATAAATAGTGTACCAGGAAGGGACATAATCAAGGTAAAGGATAGCATGTGGCTATGTTACACAGTGAACTACCCACATTTTGATATGAAATGCTATATTTTTTAAAAATACACTGAAAAACATTCTTAGTATATGCTAGATATTTTAAATGAAATAAGTTTGCAAACCTAAGAAAAAAATCAAAGTGATGCCATTTGTCAGCAATGATAACAACATAAGCTTTCAAGGGAGAATTAGCAATTGTAAATTAGTACCTGTTACTGCGTAGTTGACAGCTTATGAATACCGTTACATTTATGGTAAAATCGGTAGTGATGTTAAAAGTGCTGTTTTGATATGGTGAAATGGAATATAAACTTTTTGGAGAATCTGTATACACAGAGAACTAATATTTTCCAATTGATTGATGAATACGTGAATTTAGAAATCATGTATAACTGAACTATCTATTCTTAGTACAAGACAGGGCAATGGATTGTAATATTAGTTATGCAAAATTTTATGAATGTAATTTTAGATTCCATTCCATTTGTCTAGTTTGGGCATGTTATCAAAGAATACGCACAAGTATCTGAAGGAAAATCTACAACAGTCACAATTATCTGAAAATTTTATACAAAATTCCCCTTTCTAGCCATGCATAAGTAACAAGCCAGCTCTTACACATATATTTGTAGCGAAACACCATATGGCCACAGATTGACTTATGAGGCAGATATGAATCCAGCTGTTTTCTATTAAGCAAGACAGATTAAAAGGATCTGAAAATATGAGACAATGACATCCCTATAATAATATTTTGGGCAAGATAAATACTTTTCATTTGTATTTATTCATCATGTTAAATGTATTTGTACCTTTTTGGTTTTAATTTTCAATAAGTTAGAGAGCGAATGACATAATGAAAAAGCTTTACAGAAGTCTCAATATTTAAGATTATAAAGGGATCCTGAGACCCTTAAGTTTAAGAGGCACTTTTCTAGGTACTTATTAATGTCATAACAACTCATATTGAGAAATTTACCTCATTTCCTGTAGGATTTGGAACGTATGGTTCTATTTGGACTTCAGCCTGTATTGAATGAAACACTTCATCATTGTCTGATGAGTCATCTTCTTTATCCTTTTAAACAAAAACCACAGAAATATTTAAATGACCATGAGAGTGAAAGTGATAGGAACAACAGAATTATCTTAATTTGTAACCATAATGAATAATTTTCAAATATTTAAAAATTATTTAAATGAGTAGCTTCTAACAGTTTTTTGTTAATGACCCCTTTTTAAGCTGAGAGAAGGTACCAATTGGGCACAGAAAATTGCATATAGACACACATATTTGCATAGATTTTCAGGCGAACTATTAAGTTTCTGAAGCTTATCTATGGGATTCAAATTAAGAATCTGATTTAATGCTTGATTAGCACATAATCACAACTTAACTTTCACATTTGGTGAGCTGTTATAACTCCAACATTTGGTCCTGAGTAGAGGAAGATCTGTGATACAGAGGTGCAAATATTCCTCCTAAATTAAGCTCTCAGAGTTAAGAAGTTTTTCAATCAAATGAATCAACCACCATTATCTCTTCCAATCATAAGGAAAATCTATGCACTTTTTCTCACTAGTATGGTGAGGCACTCAGACATGTTTCTAAATTCTAATTAAATTTCATATCTTTCAAAAGAAGGATAGCTTTGTCTCCAGTATGAAGAATTTTATTTCCTTTAAGTTACTTTTAAGGAAGACATACAAAGATATGAATGCCTATGTAAGAACATAGTCTCATATGATGGTAACAATTGTTCACTGACTTTACATTTTGAAATAGCTTCATGTATATAAGGATATTTGGATATGCGTATATATATAGCTCCAAAACAAGGAAAGTATGTTTTCTGCTGCTAATGTTAGGCATATTTCCAGGATAAATACAAGTCTTGTTCGTGAATGCAAATCTAATTGGCTAAGAGAGTTCACTGAGAATAGTCATTAGCATATTAAATGCCTTTAATTCCTGCCACACATCTCCATTTTAGACTCACCTCTCCCCTCCTGCATATGATTTCTGTCACTATATTCTGAGAGTGATGACATCCATTTCTCCTTTTGGGTCATTCTTTCACTTTTTGCGTTTTAAATTCTTTTCTCATGTAAATGAGCCAGGGAATTATCAATTGTTTAATTGATTTAATGTGCACTCACCTAAATAATTACTTATGTAGATACTCAGGCAAGGTTCACTTGTAATTATTGCATCAGTTATTATTTAAGTGGATCTGGTTAACTGTTTAATCATCATTTAATAATTACTTTGATATAAATAAATAATAAAATTATTAGAAAAAACTATTCTAATCTTCCTGACTTTAATAATTTGTTTATCAGACCTATAACTATTCATTATCAGATTAGTATTTCCAGATAAAATTCAACAAGGCCTATCAAATTTTATCCTCCTCTATGAGAGTTTGAAAATAGTGAAATTTTATTGTCTGATCCTCAAAGAGAAGTTAAGTTCCACTTGTTTCCTGGTCTGTGCAGGCATGTCATTGAATAATTACATAAAAACATGGGACTATTAAAAAGACAAATAGTAATTATGACAACTATATACAAAAAGCGCTTTGAAAATGAGTTCTGTTCTCACTTTTGAAAACATTTATTTATTTTTACTGTATATGTACTTTTGGCACCCTGTGTGCAGTGTTTGTGGAGACCAGAAGAAGGGATCAGATCCCTGGCACTGGAGTCATCGATCATTGTTAGATGTCATGTGATACTGGGAACTGAACCTGAGAATTCTGAACTATCTCTCTAGCCCAGGTTTTTTGTTCTTATTTTAATCTCAACTGAAATGTCCCAAGGTACAAATAAATGCAATTCACACAGCATCACAGGTCAGCATTCTATGGCAAGATATAACAAATAAGCAACTTCCAATTAAGATTAAAATTATTTATTTTATTTATGCATTATGTGCTTGCTCTAACTCATCTGCACCTCATGAGTGCAGAAGCCCATGCAAGACAGAAGGTTACAGGCAGTTATGCGGTGCCATGTAGGGTTCTGGGAACTAAACTTCTGTCTACTGCAGGAGCAGTAAATTATCTCATCTGCTGAGCCATCTCTCTCTGAGCCCAGAAAGTTACATTTTAGAGGAATAAATTGGAAGCAACTTTAGACTTTTAAATTAGGAACGTTTCAAGAGTCAAAATAATTATTTTAAGTGTTTGTATGCTATCCCTTTACTGGTTAAGGGAGTAATTGGTAAAAGCAAAACTAGCCCCTAATAATTAAGGTACAACCCCTACAGAGATATATTAAACCATTACTTGTATTATTAAAGCAATTTCTCCTTTTGATCACAATTATCTGGATATTTCAGAATGACTCATTTGAAGTACAAATTAGTAAATGTTTGGTAGAGCCTGGGCTATTCATTTCATTGTGCTTCACATGTAAGCATTAAGTAGCACACTTTCTTGTTTGACTCAGGAAAAATATCAACATCTCTTACATTTCCAATTTGTCTCAATTCCTCTTCATGCTGATTAAAGATTTCCTCCCATCTTCGCTGGCGCCGTCTCCTGCTGGTTTCTGAGTCTGAAAATTCAAACTCCTCAATTCTCCATAAGGACTTTGCCCTGAACCTCTTGGGTGACAGTCTTTTCACCAGTGCTTGCTTTAGACTAGAAACTTTTGACTTTTTCTTCCGTGTCTGTTCTGGTTGAGTGTAAAACACATTTGATGACAAATTTTCCAGCAGGATTTGCAGCGGACCAAGTGGTTTTGAGATATATGCATTTGGTGCTTGAAGCAAGTCCCTTGATAATCCCTCTATCAGTGCTTGAACTGCACCGATTGCCTGGGAGGCCTCTGGAGCCCAGCCCTGCGCTTGAGATGAGTCTTCACTTTGTTCCCCTACTGGAATTAGCACCTGTGTGTCCAAGTGAAGAGGCAGGAGCACATGATGGTTCTGTGACAATAAAGGCAGGAACACCTGGGCATGTACTTGTAGGACCTCAGGTTCCTTATCCTCAACCTCAGCTTGCGGAGGCTCCACGGCCTGTTCCTGCACCTCTGGCTGCTCAGGTGCCCTATCTTGCTCTGGATGCTGCTCAGGAACTTGATCCTGCCTCTGCTGTTGTTCAGCAGCCTGGCCCTGCCTTTGCTGTTCAGCTGCCCTATCTTGCCCCTGAAATTCTTCAGGCACCTGATCCAGATCTTCAGGCTGCCCTGTTTCTAATGCCTCAGACTGGGCCTGCTGTTCTTTGGGTATGGGGGCCTGTGCCTCTGGAAGACTAGGTTCTTTATCCTGAGTAGGGAGTTGCATGGGCACCTGCATCCGGGATGCTCTCTTTAGTTGGGGAGGTGCCTGAATCTGCTTGAACAGAGGTGTAGATTCCTTAGCTTTAACTGGAGCCTGTAGCGGCATGAACACCTGAGCTGCCCCATGTACGCTCTGTGGTGTCTGAGCCTGCTCCTGTACAGGCCCAGGTGTGTTGTCCTGAGCATGGAGAGGCATGAGCCCTATGGCTTCCCCCTGCAGTTCCTGAAGTGCTTGGAGTCCTGGCTCTTCTTGATCAGGTAACCACCTTGGCTGAGGGAATTCTCCATGTTGGACTCTAAGAGGTCTGCATCTGCTGCTGGCTGGCAGTCTCAGAAGTTCCTGAGTGCAAGAAGGTCCTCTAAAATAAACACACAGATGATTGCCATATAATGAGAGTTTTCAGTGGAACTAGATTATACATGAGAATTGCCTTAATTTTTAAAAGATACAGCCCTCAAAGATAACAAATAATTATGGAGTAATTCTTGCAATATCTGATATAGTCTGTAGGTAATATGTGCAATGCTAATGAATTAAATCCTTAATGTGGGCTTGTATTCTACTCGATCATTCTGTTGATATGTATAAAGTCATTTTGGAATACTAACAAAAATTCTCAGTATTTTCACACAATATCTCATAGAAACAGAAGTACGCTGGGTTTTTTGTTTGTTTGTTTTATATCAGAATGGATTGTTGTCTTAGGTAACCTGGTGCTATCTAGTTATATATTCAGTTTTCCCAACACACCTGAATCTCTTCATGGCGTACTGTTGCTTAATAGCATCTTCTCCTTCGAAGACCAGAGGTATGCCTTATGAAAAAGAAAATGGAAATAATACATAAATAGAGTGTGATTCTCCTTAGTCACTTAGCAGCTTCTAAGGCACAGGATGTACAGGGCATTTGTCTAGGTGAGACAGTTAAAAATTGAGCTAGCTCTTCAAACATACTTTGCTAGTGGTGTCAACTCTCAAGGTATACTTTTGAAACCAGTAGAGATAGTTCAGGCAGATTAGTTTCTCTGGACATAAGAAAGAATAATTTAACCATCAGATTGTTGCAGTTCTAAAGAGATAAAAGGCATAATGGAATAAAGGGGTGGGGAGGGACAAGAACAACTTTATGGTGTGGGTTTGACCAGTAAAACCATGAACACTTGCCTATCCCATATAGTAATTGATGCTCCTGAGTCTGCTCCAGAAGAGGCTTAATTATGTACAGCATCCCAAGCCTGCAGGGACATAATCACCTTGACTGTCCCTGAAGCAGTTGAAGTGCTTTTCACTTAGGTAACCTCCTTGACTGAGGGAGTTCTTCGTGCAGTGCTCTAAGTAGTCTGCCTTTGCTTATTCAGCTTCTTTGCTATCAGCTGTTCTGTTTCTATTGAAATGTGGAATCTTACAAATGGAAGAGTTTTCTTTCAAATCCCTGTCCTAAATTGCTTAGGACAGCTATAATTACATTTGTGGAGCAATGTCCAAACAAATGGGACTTCCCTGTATGTAACATATTTTTGAAATCTTATAACTTTAGATTTTAGCAAATTATGGCTGATGTTCCTGTAGCAATTTGAGAATGGATGGCCTGTATGATGCTGGTCCCAATAGCTTCATTATTGGAGGAGCATAAAGAACCCTGTAGCTCCTCATTGGGAAACAGCACACATAATATTCTAAATGGTACAAGCAACACTGCAGTCACTCCTACAGTTTATTAGATCTTAGCATACTTTCTATCCTTTTCAAGTTCCCTGTTCTTCACTCTATAGTTACTCTGGACTCTGTTTATACTCCCTGAAATGCAGAACGTTTTAGAATATATGAAATTGGAGCTTCCTGAGTATTTTCCCCTACATTAAGTAAAATCATCTTGTCACTTCAGCATCAGTAAGTGAAAGCTTCACTTTGTGTACAGAAATTAGCTTCTTTAATTACATCTCAGAATTTGTGATTAACACAGAGAATTAACTTCACATGATATATACAAATTATTTCAAAACTAAGTCATTAAATGTGCAATTATGAACACATTTATTTCTAAAGACTTGATTAAATTTCTTTAGTTAGAAGTTTACTTAAAATAATACAGCCATGATACATAATTCTATTTGAATCTGAGGCTTACATCTTACAAATGTGAATACTTGATAGGTATAATAGAAAAAAGTGAATAACCTCATAGATAAATGATCACAAATGAGGTAATCACATGAATATACATACATCATTGAAAACACTAAATGCCTAAAGGCTTTTGGGTTTTTAACTTTCAGAGTAAGTTTTTAAGTGTGTGTGTTTATGTGCGTGTAAAAGTGTGTAATTGTATGTGTGTGTTATTACAGAAGACATTACAGAGGGCAGATGTGTCAGATCTACTTGAGAAGGAATGGAAGTTGGTTATGAGCCATCTGTCAAGGATACTGGGAACTGAACTCAGAACCTCTTCCCGGCTGAACCACCTCTCCAGACCCCATCAACTAAATTCTTAAACAAATATGAAACTAACTAAAAACAGCAAATAAATGTAAGAGCCTCTCTTATCTGAATTATATAAAGCTTTGTTGTCTTTACCTGTCTTCTGTCTCTTTTTAATGATTCCAGTAAGATGTTTTGTCAATGACTCCACAACGTGCTGTTCATTTTTAATATTCTGAACAAATGGGTGATGAAGCATATTTCCAGATGTAGGACGAAACAAGAAATTTTTTATCATGCACTTTTCCATGAAATTGTGGAACTTACGGGACCTGAAATAAATAAAGCATACAGAAGAAAGACATTGTCACCTGCTGCACTGTTCCTATCCTACTCCTGTGCTACTTTTGAGGTCAAATATTCTGAAAAACATGTTAGATTTAGAGTTGTCTTTCGATGAGCAAATATCCCACGTCTTAAGGATAAACATTATACAGTGAGGTCATTTAACCTTCAGAAATAGAAGTCAACAGACTTTACTACTCAACAATAGAAATTTCAATGCATTTGGCAGCATATACATGGTAAAGCTCATGTAATAAGATGTCGATTAAAAGATTAATGTCGCCTGTGTTGTCAGTGAGTGTTGACTGGTCATATGCTGTGACAGTCAGTCTCTGGAGTTGGAATGTTTTAATTACTATAAACAATTATAGCCACAGAGGCTTCACTATAATCCAGAAAGAAGGTATTGATAACCAGGACAACTAATCTTGTAAAATAGCACATGAAAAGAGACACAGTCCAAAAGCTTACATCTGTATAAAGAGTTAAGTTCAGAAAAATGCCAACAATGAAACAACATTTGCACCTCTTACTAATCATAAACAAGAGTTTAACTGAATTAAACAGCTTCATAGAACAGAATTCTCATGGTTGCCTGGTTTGCAGCACTACAGAGGGAGTTCTTCAAGTCTATGGATATTTAATTTAATGGGCCAACCGATAGGACTCTTTATCAGAATTACTGACTGTATGTCAGTAATTTAGACCTCCAAGTCAAGATACTGGAATACAGGAAATGCTGTCCAACAAAAATGTTGAAACAAGAATGACCAAATGAATGAAAACTTTGTTATAAAATACTAAATCAATATATTTAAGAAATTCATGTTTACCATCCACTGGATTTGACTGTGGGAGCAGATTCCCGTAGAATAACGAAAAGGGCTTCCAGGGGCTGAAGGTTACACAGAGCTGTTAAGGGAAACAGATGAATTTAGAAAGAAAGTAAAAAGGGTAACTGCAGAGACTACTGCTCATTCCATTGTCTCAGTGTTCATTCACATATCCTGTTAAATAGATGCTAAGAAATGAACAGATATAAATAAATGCATAAGTACTAATAGTAAAATTTGTTTTACTAGAAAAACATTGTCAGTGTCTCTATTACCAGGTCTAACAAATCAATTAAAAATGGGCTACTAAAAAAATGGTCAAAAATATTAAAATACCTTACACAGTATCTAGGAGAATGCAAAAATCAGGAAATATATGGTCCAGATGAAAGTACACTGGCCTGGCATAAAGGAGGAATTTGGTCCATAGTCTGCTTTCCATCAAGCAGACGATTTACATGGTCACAAAAAAAGGTAGAGGCTAAGAAGCACATCTCTTCAGCTTGTGGCCTATGGTGCTATGGTGTTTGAATGCTACTATAAATCGTCCAGCCTCGGTATAAAAGTCCCAAATTGCTTAAGTCCCCAATACAACCTAAAAGAGGCCCTGATAACCAAAAGCTTATATTGTTAAAGCACCCTCTCCCTGCTAAGATTCTCCTCTTCTTTTTCTGTTTCTGTGGGAGAGCCTGACATACAAAAGATCAAAGGATGATAATTTTCTTACCTAAATCTTGGAAGACATCATCTGATAATTGTGGTTTTGGAAAACTATCCCCTCTGAGATGACAATTATCATAACCTAAAAGATTGCTGCAGTTAAATTGACGAGTATCGTTTCCATGCAGAGTAAATACTCCAGGCAATAAAGGATAGTGGTGAAAGAGAAATTGTTGATAGGGAGGCTATCTAGAGTTGCCTATGATTAAAGCAATTTTCAGTAATTATATAGGCATATGGCCTATCTCCTTGTGAGTTCAGAATCTCCTGGCCCTTTTGTGATTTCTGTGCAAAATTCTTCTGCCCTCCGATGAGTTCATTCTTCATTCCCTTTATGTTCTGTTACTTAAAATAAGATTAATGCCAACTATCACATTCTGAATTTGAAGAGATGGACAGAGAAGTAGATATCAAAGGATAAGGTATAAGAAACATAAAATAATAAGATATATATCATATATTTACATATGGTGATTTTTTTAAGCAAAAGCATTTGGTCATCATTGAAAACATGACCATTTATGGTTTGGTACATGATATGTCACATGTGTAGTCAAAGAAAAGCTGACTGTTCCAAGTGTTAGCATCATTTTTTAAGAGAGACAGATTGTACAGTGTACTATAGCAATCTTTGAAATAGATCAACTATATCAAACATTTGTACTTACGAGGAGCCCCTTCAGCCATTTCAATAGCAGTGATTCCCACGGACCACACATCACTCTAAAAATGATAGCAAGAAACCTACTGTTAAAATGGAAAATTAGTACCAACAATCTCAAAACCATTTGTGCAGGGATGGGCTATCCACGTTAGAGCCAATTCATGGGTTTTCTAGAATAAAGCTTCTTTAGAGATCATGGGTTTTCTAGAATAAAGCTTCTTTAGAGACTGGAGTTACAGAAAAGTTTTGAATTTGTAACCAGTCAGCACCTCACTGTGCCACAGGTTCATAAGAAATGATATTCAGTGAAAGGAAAGTTCATCTTGGGTACATTTCTATTATTACTGCATTTTAAATATAAAAGTAACATTTTTCTTAAGAAATCTTAATATGAAGATTTTGATATGTAATTTTGAGCAAGTGATTTAATTCTATGTATCTCAATTTCATTTAATGTAGAATGATTTTTAATAGTACTGAGTTCATAAGATTGTTATGCATGTATATGTACATGTAAATATATATATGAGTATATGTACATATAACATATTTAATAAACATAGATACATTTAATAGTTTATGGGTTAAACGTTAATATACAAATTATGCTACATACATACTATATTCGCTGATATACTTTACATAAATTATTGTATACATATTTAAATAGCTCCTGGAATATAATCAATTGAACCTGAATCATTATAAAGCTCTTATAAATTATCTTCATCATTATCAGCTATACTTGGTTTTTCAAAATATGAAAATGGGGCTGAGATGGTTCAGTGGATAAAAACATTTGCTGCAAGCCCGCTGACAAATTTAATCATTAGGATCCACATGACGAAAGGAGAGAATTGACTTTTACAAGTTTTTCTTTGAACTCCTCTACACACACACACAGCATGGAGGTGCATGAGAACAGATACCATACTTGGGATACTGTAAGTGAGTGAAAGAACTTTGTTTCCATCATCCTCATAGCTTCCAATGTACTGTGAAAATGCAATAGGCTCTCAGTAAGTAATTTCTTTATATAACAAGCAAAGAGTACTGCAAGAAATGGCAAAGAAATGAACTATAAATTGATCAATTTCAAGTATTGAGTCCTAAGTTCTTAAGGAGAGAACACAGTGAATTGTTTGGAAGGCGTGTGATGTGGCAATTGAGTGAGGTTTCTCTAGTTTTTAGCAAATGTGGAGTTTTGTTCCTTTCCATGTTGACTTTTTAGAATATATGTTTGTATACATATATGTATATATGTGCACTGCTAATTGAAATTTCAGTAGAAATGTTACTATATACCACAAATTGTTAATTTGTCTATTCCACTGATTTTCTGTGGTTTTGGAGTTGAGCCAAATGCCAAAGATTTTTCTCCAGTACTTCTAGTAATTAAATTATTTTTATTTTTGAACTTATAAGGATTAATTATTTGCCTTATATTTATTCTTTATGTGTGGAACTGGTGATTAAGCTTAGGGCCTTTTGAATGTAAGACCTGCTAGCTGGTATCATCAACCCTGTCACTCTTCATTTTGATACAGAGTGGACTTTACACTCATTTTGAAGTTCAAGCAGGCCTAATACTCCTACTCCTTCCTTAGCTGCCCAAATAGTTGGGATTACAGTCTCGAGGCCCCAGTACTGGCTTCATTTCATTGAGTTTAGAAATTCCTCTGTTCTTGGAAGTCAAATTTCCAAGTGAAGCCATCTAATATATTTTTATAAAGAAGTTGCCAACAACTTGAGCTAGATATCCCCTCCTGAATCTGAAAAAGTGCCAATGTTCTACTTTGTCTTCATTATTAGAAAATATTACTCTTATGCATGCTATGAAACCACATATAGAAATAGAGTCTACTATTTCTGATTGGAGGGTACTTCAAAGGAACATCTCTCTTCTTTTATCGTTAAAATAGACGTAGTTAGGGCTAGAGACATGGTTCAATAGGTAAGAGCATTTCATTTTACTGCTTAATCACGAGCACCTGGAGTCAGATACCAGCACTCATGGTCACCTGGCTGACAACTAATTGTAACTCCACCTACAGAAAATCTCATGCTGTTTCTGTCCTCCATGGACACCTGCACACAAATGCGTGTGTATACTCACTCACACAGACACCTTACATACGCATGAACAAAATAAATCTTAAAAAAATAAGATAAGATAAATATAGCCATTTTTTTCCAGATTTCAGTCCTCACTGTGTGAACTATCTTACTCACTCTGTAATCATAGGAGCGCCTTGGGTCCTCATCACAGTGAATCACCTCAGGGGCCATCCAGTATGGTGTACCAATGAAGCTGTTTCTCCTTCCATTTGTTCTGCTCACTTGGGCACTCACTCCAAAATCCACTACATATGTCAAAATCATTAATAAGGAACACGAATCTCAATAAGTTATTGCTTTAACTTGGAAAGACAATACAAAAGCCACAATGGATAACAAATTTTCTTTCTGGCCCAGAAAACTTTACCATGAAGTCTTCTCCAGGAATACTGGGAAATGAGCTTTAGCTGCTATTTATGTTGGAACAAGACCCAACACTGCTGTTACAAATTTAATGTAGGTTTGGGTAAATGTTTATCATGAATATTAAAAAATAAAGTTCCACTGATTGCTAAAATGTGGCATATGGCATATGTAGAGCTTGGATCTGCCACCAAGTTGGAGGATGAATAGCACTATGAGCCACATCTTCATAATGTAAATCCTGTTAACAGTTAGTTAGGAAGTCTCATGCATGAGATCAGAAACTCCAATCCCACTGATAAGGAAAAACGAGCTTCCTGAGAGAAGTTTAATAAGTATACAATCTTCTGAGTCAGGTACAAATATTATCTGGGCTAACTACATCTCATTTTTGTGCTATAAAGTTTAGTTTCTCATTCATCTGTGGGGTATGTTGTAAGAAAATATTTAGTATGGTATCCTGAGAAACAGACAGAAAAGGGCTGAAGTGGACTGGGGTTATTAATTCCAAAAACAATAAGACAGGGATGAAATATGAAGTAGATTTTCAAATTTATAATGGTTTCTGGGAATCTGGAATATGGTGAACAAAATAACTGAAAAGCAGCTTGAATAATTTAGTGGAATCAAAGAAAAAATGAAATAAAATTAATAGTTTAAGGCAGTTTTCAGAGAGTACCTAACAAGAGGGATTATTCCAAATATTTTTGAAGATCACTGGTGTGATTATGTACACTTTAAAAAGTATTTTTTACATAATAGCTCAACATTCCCACTCTCTCTAATAGCCAACTTTAAAAATCAATAAATACCTATGAAGGCCATAAACTGATATATCCATATATGCAGGGAAAGCAAGTGGGTAAAATCTAGAAGAAATAATGGTAAATACAAGTTTAAAAAGACAAAGAAAAATTATGATAAAACATGGAACTGAAAAGTCAACAATGAAGCTGGCTATGGTGGTGCACTCAGGAGACAGAGGCAGGAGGATCTTAGAGTTCAAGGCTAACCTAGTGGGCTGAGTGAGTTCCAGGACAGCCAGAGCTACACAGAAAGACTCTGTTTCAAAACAACAGTAACAACAACAAGTAGAACAAAATCAAAACAAAACTCAACAATAGAATAATTTGTATTTTTGTTAATGACACAAGGAACAGATTATGGAGATTATTATCACTTTACAGTCTCTCCTGCTGTCACTTCCTGTGGCTATCTTTATGTTCATGTATATTGCTTAAAATATACTCTTATCTGAAAACTGAAGTCAAAATGTGTTAGAATTATGTGTCAAATAAGCATGATTAAGCTAACACTACAACGTTTTGCCTCATGAATTAAGTACATCTACATTAGTGAATGTACTTTGAAACAGATATTTAAAGACACTTCATATTTGCAATTTTTGTTTCATGTTAATGTTGGGTATTACCAGCAACTTGACTCAAGCTTGTGAACATACAATCTTTTGTATTTGAATGTGACATCTATATGCATTTTATGTATTTCAGCCAGTGTGGCTTATGTTGCTAGTTTTGTAGTTTATGGATATAAGACGTGATATGTTTCCTCAATACTACTGTTATTTCGAGAATTACTGTTACTATCTCATCTGTCCTGCAAATACTCAATAAAATATTCTTTTTTCATTATTTTTATTACAGTTTTTTAGAAAAGAGCTTGCTTCACATGTGAATCCCAGCTCCCTCTCCCTCCCCTCCTACCGCACCCCCCATGGTCCCCCCCAGCCTCCCACCCTATCCCCACTCCCTTCCACATAGGGGATATCCAGAGTCTGTCATTTCGTTCAGGGAAGGGTCCAGGCCCTCCCTCAAGAGTCCAGGCTGAGAGAGCATCTCTCTATTCTTAATGACAAAATCCCTACTCTGGTTCTGCTTACTTAGCAAGAAAAGGGGAAATTTAGAATTTGATTTAATTATTACTGCAACATCTCTTCTCTTCAGTATGATTTGAGGAATAGATGCAAGTAAACAGTTTATGTTAAAGCAATTGAAAGCTATTTCATAGTCTTCAGAATATGGCTCTATTATGGACGAGAATATTTTTAACTGTTTAATAGCTACCATGATTCAACCACTGAATTAAATGTGACAGCTATTTCTAACACAGTTTACAGCTATACATGACCAAAAAGTACAGTTCCTATTGTATTTAAAGATTGTTTATCTAAAGTTTCAAATAAATTATTAGGCATTTCCTTTTTCTTTTATGCCAACTCCCTGCCAAACAGTTTCAAGTAAATCCAGATAAAATATGACATGACATGATACGATGAAAGGCAGTTTTCTTCACTTTCTACCTCAGCTAACCCTTGCAAGAATGAACTTACCTAATTTTACTTCAGCATTATGAGTCAGCAGCACATTTTGGCCTTTGATGTCCCGGTGAATGACGCGGTGTGCATGAAGGTGAGCTAAGCCCTGTACATACATACACATTTTAAAAGTCAAGTAAGTATATAGATACACTTTTTTCAGTTTTCTAGTAGTGCTTTTAAGTGCTTTTTGGAAAAAAGCTTTTGTTGAGAAAAATGGTCCACATTTGGCTTTTCAAACAAAATTCTTTCTTTAGACTGGAATGACTACAACCAGTTCCCAGAAATACTACTTTTGGCTATAAGGAAAGGAAAATAAATCAGAATACTCATGAAACAAAAAGAACACCAAAAAGTAATATTTATATAGATTGGGAAACTTTATCCTCTTTTATAGCCTCTATATTTCTGACTAGCCATGACAGTAAAGACATGGCCATCTTAACTATTAACTGTTTTGTTCTATTTCTTATCCAAATATTTGGTTAGTCAAAATATTTTCTGGTGATGTCTGTAGGCCTAGGATTTGAGGGAATATGGAAATTCATTTTAAATTGTGTACAATTTGTGTTGGCTTACCATGTTGGCCCCAGCCCATTCACCATTGAAAGAACCCCATGACCTGGCTAAATCATAACATGGTATGCAATATTACACTTCAGTGAGACCATGCCAGACACTAGTTGGGCATTAATAAGACATTTATTGAGCTTTTATTCTGTGCCAGACATTTCGCTAAATGTTTAGATGGAGTCATTGCTAAGTTATCCCAGAATCCCTTTGTGGAATATGCTATCCTCCTATATCATTGGTAAGGAAAATGAAACCTGGGGAAATCAAGAAATTGATTAAAGGTCACACAACTAATATGTGATGAACTGTGAAATCCAAACCTGGTATACGATTTGAACTCTTAAAACATTTGCATTGTTATCATAAGTAAATCAAACAAAATGAGAAGGACGGCATACCCAAAGTGGTGAGGATACTCTTCATTTTATTAATATCAGTCCCACGACCCGATGAACATAGTAGCATGAATCTCACGGCTATGATTTGAGCTTAGCGTCTTTGGGGATTTCTTATCTACAGGTTATGCCTAAAATTCTTAGTCAGGTATACAGTATAAATATTTGTGTGTGTGTGTGTGTGTGTGTGTGTGTGTGTGTGTGTGTGTGTTAGAGTGAGGTTCTTTGAAGATCAGGAGCAGGAATTATGTGACCACTCACCTGAAGAACTTCTCGACAGATATAAGCAATCCAGTCTTCTTTTAAACTCTGATTTCTTGTCATCCTCACTACATCAGTGACTGAGCCTGCCGCACATAACTCCATCACCATCTGCAGAGGAGCCATAAAAGCATGAACCACTTTAAAACTTAAAACAGCAGAATGACATTTGTGAAGGTAGGTAAACCAGGAAGCACATTCGCATGTTTCATTAGCAGGTGGAATGTGAACTAATCAATGACATATAGGCTTCGTAGGTTGTGGTTTGAGACACTTAGAAGGAAGATAGTCTAAGTTTATATTAAAAAACATACCCTTGATCATGAAAAGAAGTTTGTGAGGAGGAGAAGCCTAACTGTTGACTGGAGTGGAAAAGAAAAGAAAGAATATTTGAGATATGGAGGGTATTAAAAGAATTTATAGATCACTGTTAACATTAGATTTGTTTTCATTTTCTTAATGGGCTAGAAAGACTGAATGAGTACTATTATATCTGATAACGATAGTCAATGCTTCTAATATGCTGTAAGAAAGCTAAATTTTGTAATATTTTATGAAAATATGGCATACATGGAAATACTAAATACAGTAAACACAGAAATGTGGAACAATATTTAATAAAATCTCAACTATGATTGTCAGAGAACAGAAAATCCAAGTTACCTGGACATTCAAGAAAGATAGGGTTACTTTGAACATCTCTAAATCTGATGGTCCTAAGCATGCTGTTATTAAACTAGAAGCATCACTGTCATCTATGGATTTACTAGAAAGTACAAAGTTCACACAATTCCAGACCTACTCAATTTAAAAGTCTGTGAAGATGGGTGGGTGAGAATTCTGTGCTGTAGAAAGTTCTCCAGAAGATCCTGATTCATGCTAAATTTGAATTTCATTGTAATATGTTGTAAGAATTCTCCGGTATCAGTTGTTCTAATTCCCCGAATCCATTATGTAGATTGTAGCAGGACTTTTTATTTATACTAGTGGATCCTGAAAACTGTCTGTTGCTGTTTTTTTTAAAGCCATTATCCCAGTTTAAGTCCCAAATGCTCTGTTTTTAAAGATATCTTTGACTAAAACTCAGTATCTAAGATAGTAAAGCATTACAAAATGTCTATTAGCTAGATTAGTTATGCCAAGTACCAGTTGGTTACTGATATTTGTATTTTTTGATCTGGAATTTATAATAGTCCAGCCATGATGACAAATCAACCAACCACTTGGCTATATTTATGCAAAAGTGTACACATGTCAAAAATACCTAATATGGAGCTATCTGTTCATGTCAAGTACTAATTCAAAATTTTCCTCATCTGTTTATTATCTCTAGTCTATAAAGCCACCTGGATACCAGCAAAAATAAAAACATCAGAGCTACAATTTACTATTTGAATTTTAAATTAACAGTGTTCACTGTATCCTCCTTTAGCCCACTGAAAAGTTTCTAGCCAGGCATTTAGCTTATCCATTCAGTTGCTTATCATGATGTCTCAAGGAACCAGAATATATTTTGCCATACTATCTTGAACAGTTGAGAGTCTAAGTTTTCTAGTAGGAAAGCAAACATCGCATCTCAGCTCCTTCACTGTGTTTGACTTTTCTTATGGAAAAAGATCAGGGCAAAGAAAAACATACCCAAAGTTGGTGCCTATGGCCAGGAGGACTCAGCTTGAAAAATGCACCATAGAAGGACACAATGTTTTTGTGGAAAGAATACTTCCTCAGCAGATTGAGTTCAGTCCTGAGATCCTCCTCTTCATCCTAAGCAGTAAAAGCAGACAACAAAGCTTTCAGCTATGTAAAACAGTGTAATATATTTATAAAGGAAAATCTTATAATAGCAGTATAGTCTATAGTATTTCAGAATAAAATCTCAAGAATAAACAATGATTGGAAATCTCTGATAAAATTACAATTTAGGAGCAAAAAGAAATTTCTCTTAATTCAGAAGTTCTTAAAATATGACCCTGGAACAGCAGCACTCACCACACCTTGAGAAAGTACTCTACATATTGTAGAATTCAGTTACTTAAAATGTAACACCAACTTTTAGTAACTTAGATAAATATTAATGTCACCACAATCACAGAACATTTTTCCTCTAAAATGATACTCTATAAACTTTAATTCGTGGCCTACCCCCAATTCTAACACACTCATCTTAGTTCAGAGAAACCGCTGTTTTACATTCTATCCAAAGTACATAAGTGAAATTTTATAATATGTAGTCTATTCAGAGTAGTTATTTCTGAGGTTTACACATGAAATGTCCATTCATAAAACATCAGTATTTCAATTTTTTTGGTTTACAATCAAATGATGGGAACATTGGTTACTTCTACCTTCTGGGTACTGTGAATAATATTTCTATGAGCATTCATTTGAAAATTTTAATGTATATATTTTCATTTCATTCTGATATTCTAGTATATTTAATAATGATGAAAAGCCAAACTCATATTCAACATCAACTGTATCACTTTGCCTGACCAACATAACATATAAAGTAAGTTCTGATTGCTCCACACTCACCAATAGTTGTTATATCTGTTCTTTGAGAGTGAAATGATAGTATCATGTGGTTTTGATTCATAATACCCTGGTGAAAAGTGGTTTCAGATTCAGATTTTCTTACCAATTTCTTATTGGCGTGTGTGTGTGTGTGTGTGTGTGTGTGTGTGTGTGTGTGTGTATGTGTGTGTGTTTGTAACAAAATACTGAAATAAAAAAAGTTCTTTGCATGTTTAAATGTTTGGTTGTCTTTTCATTGTATAACTGTAATTTTAAAATACTCTAGACACAAATTCTTTATTAGATATTGGGTTTAAAAGTATCTTTACCCATTTTGTGAGTTGCCTTAAAACATGCCAGCAACATGTTTTCTTTGAAGCATACATTTTTTTTACTATTGATAAAGTTCAATTTACTATCATTTTATTGTTAGTACTTTTGGTTTAATATCTAAAGAGTCATCATCAAATAAAAATCACAAGCATTTACCTTTATGTTATTTTCTAAGCATTTTATAGTTTGTAAAAACATTTTACAGCCCTCATGTTTAGGTATTGGATATATTTTCAGTCAGATTTTTTTTCTTGCATATTTATAGAGCTAGTAGCAAAATGTTTTGATTAGTCTTTAATACATTTGAAAGGCATGGGTTCATTTGATATTAATCTTGTAAGTATATCATGTCTGTAAAACAAATAATAATCTAGTCTCACTGATTATTTTCAGATTCTCATTGAGAGGTTGCAGTATGCATTCTGTCAGAGTTGTGCATGATGGTAAAGTACTTAGATACTGAAGTGATAAACACACAGTACATACATGTAACATATGATTCATATACACAATAGCTACAGATATGCATGTGTGGAATTTGTTTTAATCTAAACAGCTGCATATTTTTCTTTCAAAATTTTTAGCAAGACATAAACACATCTATTCATAGCAATGAATACTTGTATAACTTTTGGTGACAGAATAACATGATACTTAATGGAGCTATGGGTCTTGTGCTTAGGGGATGTTGAAGTACTTTTTAAAAGAATTATTAATTTATTGATAACTGAATTAATCTGGTTAGGTGAGATCACTGATTGAAGTGAAAAGCATAGTTTCAAAGTACAACTTTCTCAAAAGCTAAGTTGACGATAGCCAGAAAAAGAACAAGTATTCAGAATATTACTAATATTTCTCTTTTTTGCCATTGATTTTCCATAGTAAGAAGCCCACTTACTCTTACAAGGTTCCACTTACTTAAAAAAATACAGAAGATTTTCCTGTCTTTATAGAATATCTACATATGTGCAACTAACACACTTTTTAGCCAAAATAATCAAGCTGATTTAGAGATGCTAACTTATTAGCTAGCAACGATGTTCCTTTAATAAAATATAATTACAGAATTCAAAATACATGACTTAAAAAAATAAAACTTCCAAGAGTGGGTTTCCCACATAAATGTAAACTCTCCCAAAACAAATAAATGAAGATCAGATATGTTTGGAAAGCATTAGTGTGTTTGCCACTCTCAATTAACGGGAAGTTGAGCTTGTAAGAAACACACAAGTACATAATATCCATCAGGCCAAGTGGGTAATTTAAAACTCTCACACATCTCCCAGTAATATGATGCTCCAGTGTTTCCTGGCTCTGTGCCAGCTGATCCCAGACTGGCCTGAATACCCTGCTTTTTGTCAGAAGGCAGCTCAAGGAGGCCAGAATTCCCTTTATAAATTCACCAATGCTACAATCAAAATCCACTTCTTATATGGAAAAAATACCAGAAAGGTCTTGGAGGCCTTAACATTTTTATTAATATAGACTTTTGAGGAAAACAGAATTGATCAAATAATTCTAGTGTTTATTCCTTTTGTTTGGTGTGTTTTGGATCTACCAAAGCCACTCATAGCTGCTTCCTCTGAATAGGTTTCTATGGTTATCATACTTTATAAACAAACAAGAAGACTGTTGTGTAACAGATAAATCATGAAGGTATTTGGCAATGAGTTTTTCATATACCTAGAAAGATTCTAAATGTATTTGTTTGTGTTAATAGACAGGGTTATTTTTAATGTACACGATGCTATATTTATTATGACATAAAGGCTGAAAATGTCCAAACATTATTTGACCCCAGGAGAACAAAACCAGAAAAATTAATCAATGATTTATATTGATATAAATAATACTTTTGGTTTTATGGTCATATAATATTTTGATAGAAAACTAAATTCTTTTGAAAACCATATTTCTGTATGCCTAAACTGATTCTAAAGTCGGTGACTATTGGGATAAGGGAGATCTCAGAAATTCTGAAAGGAGAAAGTGTTTCATAGTCCTTCCTGTGCAACATGTATAAAGGACATTGCTAGGGTCTAGTTGAGGAAAAAGTTCTTCTTGTTACAGTCAACTCTTCCTCTTTTACTAGCCAACGAGAAGGTTCTATACTCTGTAGACATACTCAATATTTCCCCTATAGCCAGTGATTGACTACACAAAGGACAATTTCTTCCAGGCCCTCTTCTTTGACAGATGATAGCATTCAACTATGGTGAGTGAATCTATATGAATAGCAGAAGATATACATGTTACCATTCCCAGCGGGAGCATTGAAAGGGAGTCCATGTAGCGATAATGATGAACTGAAATCTGAAATCAAAGGAAAGACTATGGAGCTATGGAGGTGCTAATGAAGACATTCAGTACTTACGCTGTATCTCCATCCAACAGACTTTTGATATTTATTCACTCGCACCCGCTTCCCTATTTCAGGCAAAGGAGTCTGGAAAAAAAGAGAGAAATAATATTAGAAATATTATTAGTACATTTTTACAATCATTTATGCCAAAGTAGTTTGTGTTACTTTGGCATTAAATTGTAGATTAATAAAGCATCATTCCTTTCTTGCTTCCCAATAATAGTATTAATCTAAAAATTCAGTTTCTTATGAATGTGTAAACTGGTCACTAAATTCATGTTAATGTATGTAATTGAAACATTAATGGGAAATTTTTCTCTGACAAATGCAGACAGTAAATATTAAGCATCTATGGTCTTAATTTTTAAATGTTTCAACAAGGATTAATGTGGTTTTAGAGCTCCAAAACTAAACTATGGGTTATAAATCCACAAACCGCCAAATCCTTTGAATCGCACATTGCTTTGCAACATTTGACATTTACTGGCAAAACAAAACTACTTGATTCTTTCTTCACTAGTTTTAAAGTAACATTTCACTGCAGGATACAGCAGATCCAGAACCCTACAAACTCTTTCAAGTATTTTTCCTTTAGGATATAGTAAAATAAAAATTTGTTAACTTCTGCTATGTTCATGTTAATATTATTTTGAGAAAGTGAATTACACAAATAAAGACAGAGGGCAGAAATCAGTCCTTTGCTCGTTCTTTGACAATAAATTATGAATTATGACACAATTTTATGACTGTTAGCAGGAACAGCGCCAATTAAATTGTCTCTCTTGCTTATCTGTCAGGAAATATATGAAAAATGTGCATCTCCGACAATTTCTTTCCTTCTACTGTCATTGGGGATCTAATGGCCTCAATTCTCAAAAGAAATTATTGGAGAAAAATATAACAGAGCAGAGCAGTATTAACACAATGCAAAAGGAAATATCTTATTTGCTGTCGCCAGCAACAGATAACCAAATGAAAAGAGGGAGAGGTAGGTATTTTCCCAATTGGCTTATCATATCAAATATTTGGAATTTATGGTGTGAGTGAATTAATGTGGAAATAAAACAAACCAGTAAGTGTAATACATTATTAACTGTGAGTATATGACTACAGTCATTCCAGATTAACTCGAACTAATGTATAAAATCAAGACTTCAAAACAATGCTTTTGGAGTTGTTTATGCCATGTACACAGAGTACTAAGTGTGCAGAATACAAAGAGGGCACAGTATTGATTACCTTCCGGGCATTCATTACTTTAACAGCCGTGAATGAACCAGTTTTCTCATGTAGTCCCTGAAACAAAGGATAGTGTTAAATTTCAAATGTTTGCTGTTCACCCAGCTACTAAGAAACTAATAAAGCAAAATATATTATAATTAATTAAAGTCAAGGTCATAGCATGTTAATAAATAGGTATATGTGCTTATAGTGAATATATCTATGTTATTTACCTAAATCCAAAGCAATTCACTGAAAACGAATAAACTTTATTATGTAGTTTAAATGTTTGTACTTATATTATGCCATAATTGATCATCGAAAATTATCATTTATTTAATATAACTAAAAGTCTTTTGTGTTCCAGCAAGGAATCCACGTGAAAAGTGCTCATCTTCAATTAAACATAACAAGAAGACATTTTATTCTACACTTTTTGACCTACATGTATTCTTATTGAATATTTCTCCATACACACAATTTCTTCCATAATGATCACTTGTGAGAGTAATACCTAATTAATTCAACAGACTCTAAACTTCTTAATATGTCTTTTGTCATAGGAACCAAATACTTATGAAATAAGTTCTGGAATATTTGTTTTCTTACTGGAATGACAGTGATTTCTAAAAATATAGTCTTAGCCTAAATGCAAGTCATAGATTTATAACAATATTAAAGTGAACATATAGATTTTTTAAAATTCGAGCTTATTTGTGGCTGCTAACTAAAAAGTACTTCATCCTGTGGTAATAGAAAAATTCCAGTCCAGTGTTTCTATGAGTAAGCTAAGTGGAATGCCTTATATGATAGTTCTCTAGCAGAAAATTATTCTTGGACTATATACTAAGTTAAACAATATTCCACCAAGTTCCAAGTTCACCTTGTACTCCAGATTGTGACCTTATTTTGTTATACCTGTATTTCTTGATATACAAAATGCATTACAACTTTCTTTGTTTCTAAGAAGTTATTCATGGGCCAACCTGCTGTTCTGTTCATACTACTATTCTGTGCAATATATAGCACTTGGCATACTAGCAAAGATATAAACCATATAGCATATTCTTTGATAGTAAACATTAAAACTTTGTAAAATTTGAACCCAGTCAGCACCATTCTTGTGAATACACAGTAGTGAGGCAATTCAATGTCACTTAAATACTAGTACTCATGGTTTAAAATTTCAGTTTGTTAATATCCTCTCGATCTGTGATTGACTCTCATTTCAAAATTGCACACAATTATTTTGTAGGACAATTATATACTAAAGTGAAGTTTAAGAATTTACTCATTATTCCTGAAGGAAACTAGACCTTGGGTCTTGAAATCATTTAAGAGGTTAAGACACAACCATTACAGGCTTCCATAGATGTCTAATGTATTCAAAAATACATGATTAAAAAAATGCTGCCATTAAGGTAACATTTTAAAGTTTCCCCTTGTACACTAATTTTCTTTTAACATTTACAATAAAATATTTTCAAACTCAGAGAATAGTTTCAAATCTAGCACAGAGTTCCTATGTAATCCTTTCAAGCTTTCTATAATGTTAGTATATTACATGACCATGGTATAATAATAAAAAAGTCAACTAATATTGGCATGATACTCCTTTAAACTACATTACAGTTTATTTGTGATTTTCTGGTCAACCAGTTTTTACACTGCACCTCAGCTTTGGTTTCTCTGATGGTTTTTTGTAATTATTTTGAGGTTGCACACTTGCAGGAGAAGAGCAAATAAACGAAATGTCCCTTTCATCACATACATCAGGGGGAAGAGTATTACAACATAACAATTAATGTTATGACCTTGGTCATTTCATGTAAGACCTGTGAAGTTTTTTTACTATCAAGTCACTGTTCTCCATGCCATACTGTAATTCACTGGAAGTCACTGACATTAGCTTTGAAGAAGGATACTGTTATTCTTGACCAGCTATCTAGAGACTCTAGAAGGTGCCTTTCTGAAATAAACTAATTGTTCAGTAGTGCCATCTTGTGGTTTGCTGATAATGTGGAAACTGTTTTCTGTTGAGAGCTAAAAGCTATGTCATAGTGAGAGAAGTGCAGCAATTATAATGTGGGGTTTGTTGTGGCCTTTCCTTTTTCAGGTACAATTCGTGTTTTATATGTGCAAAATTTTCTGTAAATATATGTAGAAAATCCTAAGAAATCAGACAGGCTTTGTACTCTAAAATACTAAGAATTTTCATAGGCTCTACTGATTATTAAAAAATCCCCAAATTATAAATTGGATTTTGGAGTCCACTTTCCCTATGGAAATATCAACAATATTCAGAAAGCAATAGTTATACTGAAATAATAATTCTCTTAAATTATAAAACACTCAAAATACTAGAAGGATAAACTGGAGTCACAGTTTTTTTAAATTAGAAACAAGCTTGTTTTACATGTCAATCCCAGTTCCCTCTCCCTTCTGCTCCTCCGGTGCCCCCATTAACCTCCTATCCCATCCCCTTTTTGCTCCCCAGGGAGGGGGAGGCCTTCCCTGGGTGCTCTTCAAAGTCTGTCAAATCATTTGGAGCAGAGCCTAGGCCCTGTCCTGTGCGTCTAGGCTTAGACAGTATCCCTCTATGTGGAATGGGCTCCCAAAGTCCATTCATGTACTAGGAATAAATACTGATCTACTACCAGAGGCCCCATAGATTACCGAGGCCTCCTCACTGACCCCCACGTTCAGTGGGGATGAATTTTTAAGATGTGTATGCCTATAACATTTAGGGAAAAGAAAAGTCAAAGACTTACTACTGACATAAATTCTCGAACCCCTAATAAGTCTGCTCAAGGGTTCAAGACAATGAATACAGAGTACCATAAAAAGACATAAATAAGGTCCAAAATGACTGTCCTAACAAATTGTAATGCCTTCACAGCTAAACATGTATTCTTTTCACAGATCTATTTGAAGTAACTCAGGAGAGAACATAAATCCCTCAATGTGCTAATTTCAACTTGGCAGAGATTTGTGTTCTTAATTAATTTAGGTAATCAAATAAACGGCCTTATTTAGTTTGCTTCCTCTGGGAAAAGCAGAGTTCATTATTGTGCTGTTGATCTTTACTTGCTTGAAAATTAGTACCAACATTCTGAAAATATATATCTTGTTAACAGAAAATTCTACATACTCCTAAATTTGCTACAGTTATTACATACAAACATGTATATATGACATATATATGTATTTCTTTTATTGAAGACTAAATATTAATATACATAAAATTTAAGGGGAGGTCATGAACACGATATTGAGAATTACAAGAAAAGTTGCACTATTAGTTAGTAATCAGACTCCTTCACAGACTTTGAGAGGTCAAATTACGACACTAAAGAGTAATTACAATTTGGGGAAGTATCTTGAAAATAAGAAAGTAAGGCTAATTTAAAACACTAAGTTTCCAAAAGCAAATTTCACTGAACTTATAACTACAGAAGAAAGTTTATATGAATTAGCAGGCTCTTGATCGCCTGATGCTTAATCTTACCAGCTTCTAACTGCCCAACCACCTTTCCAAGTCCATATTTCCTTTCTGTTGGCATAGATCTGTTTTAATAAGCTTTCATAATTCTTCCCTTTGCCTTTGGGGTTGTTTAGGTGAAGATGCATGTCTTTCCCAGTTATTTGCTGATTTCCATTAGAATAGCTGGGAAACTTTCATGGAAGTGGTACAGATGTCAATTGGAACATGAATATGTCACAGCATTTGAAAAGACAGGGAATTAAATTATGTTCTGAAGTGGATAGAACTTCATAAGCAAATATGATCAGGCAATGCTGAGGAGAAACACTCAACCTACTAAACACAAAAATGTTAGGAAATGGAGGATGACTATACAGCAGAAAAGTGAAAACAGAATGTCAGAGAACACCTGCTTTAGTCATATCAGAAATGTCAGTGGAAAAAATAAATTCTTGCTGAAAGACAGAGTGAAGACATCACTGATAAAATCAGCCATTAGTTGTGTACTTCGTGACGGCCTTTTGTTAGTCTGATGCAAGCCTCAAAATTGGTAAGGCACTGAAAAATCAGCACTGAATTGCAGCAATGATCAATTTCTTGGGAATTATACATTTTAAACCATAACAAATGATTTAAAATAGCAGTTGTGACATCTGTGTTGGTAAAATCTATCATTCTGCAACAGTTAATTACTCTGCTTGCCCATAGAAAGAATATAGGATAGTTCTTGATGGCCTTGTAATTTTCATTAGGCAATTTTTATATTATGTAGTTAAAGAAATTGTTGTGAAAAAAACTGCCTTCTCTTCAACCATTCATTCAGAGTCCTTCCACTTACTTGTTTTGCTTTCAGTTGGCAAACTGAAATCACACAATCTTTTCAATTGGGCTTATGGTAGAGAATGACCACTCAGCTACTCTCAATACTCATGTCCATTCTATAAGTGTGTAGCTTGATTTCTATTCACGTAGTTTTGTCTTTTGTCATCTGTTTTGATCCCTAGCAAAACACCCAATTGACCCTTGAAGGCCACCACAAGGGCAGCTGTAAGCAGTATCTGGAAGTATCTATAAGCAGTATCTGGCAAACGTGTCTATCAACAGGTCTATGCAGAAATATAAAAGCATGTGGCCAGTTGAGGGCTTTCAAAGATTAGCAAGGCATATCCTTCCTTCCAAGCATGTCCTCCCATTAACTATCCCTTCAGACTGATAATAAGGATACTGTTTCTTACATGATGTCTTCTCATTTTGTATTCCTTTTGATCCTTCATCATACAAGCTAGCTCTAGAAGCCCAAATTGACAGTGTTCAGAGTAATCAGTGCTTGGAGGTGTGATTAAAATCAGCAAAGATGTAGTGAAGACAAAGGGTGAGAACTGAGGCCATACATGAAATATCAGTCACTCTCCAAGAAGGAGCTGTAGTATATTTTGGAAGAAAAGTGAATTTTATGAGCTTCAAATTTAGATTAAAAAATGTTAAGGGACTCAAATATGCAGATACTAGATACGTGAAAATTACTAAATGACAAAATTATCAAGACTCACCCATTTTCATTCCCACAAGGTCTAGTGTACTGTAAGAACAC